TCCACCTCAGCAACTGCATTAACCAAGAGTCGAGCTGGATAAAAAAATGGGATACCCAGGGCTGTGAGCTGCTTGCGATGGTTCAGTATTCACTGCCCCTGGAGAAAGCTGGCAGTCTGGATCCAGATGGTTTTCCTAAGGAGCCCAGTGAGCAGATCCAACACTGTAGATCAATGTGTGCTCTGAGTTGCTTTCAGCAGTTTTGCTGTACAAGTGATACATTGGTATGTCAGCAACTTCCCAGCATTGTTTTGAAACAGCGAGTTGGTTAAGAAGACATTCTGTTCCTGTCGTCCTGTATTATCACTCACTTGCTCAACAACAACAAAAAAACCCACCAAAACCCCCCAAACTTTGTGTCAAAATCCATGAGTCAAGAGCATAAATCTACAAATAGGTGCTATTTGTCTTCCTCCTCTCTTATCATAAAGAAATTGCTTAGGAAATAATTTTTCCATGATAATCTAGAGTCAGCTGGTTTATACACGTACCTGCATAACATCAAAATTCATGTCAACCAACAGTGGTGCCTTTTTAGAGGAGCATAACTACAGTGTGATCTGCCAGCCATCCTTGCAGCTATTTAATCCCCTGACCTAAATTTAGATGTTTGTTACTACCACCATCACTACTACTATTTACTTCTATGATTAAAGGGAGAAATAATGCCTCTATCTGCACACAGCTGTAAAGCTGTGCCAGAGTATGTTTTGCTCTGTTTGTTACTTCTGCTGGGGCAGAAAAGTGCTCTTCCTCATATGGTGTTAGTTTGACTGCAGGGTAGATAAAGCAAATGTAGAAGTAAAATCTTGGGACAGAGACTATTCTAAAATTTGAACAAGTTTTCTTTAATGTGTTTTATTTCTGGGCTTTTTGTGGATGTTGCATATCTTGGCTTAATTGAAGGTCAGACTCATTTATGTGAGAAAAACCAGTCTTGTTCTTTTCCTGGATGAAGTTGAGGAATCTCAGGAATCTCATGCAAGTAATTTTGTGAAATATCCATCACAGCTTTACAGCAGTTTGGATGCAGTCTTAGGCATACTCTGAACAATGCTCTGTCACATAAACAAGGAGTACTAAAAGAAAAATGTCCTTCTTTCAAAGGTGTCTGTTGTCTATGAGCCAATAACTTGTTATTTTACCAAGGACTGAAAGGTAATGGCAAGACCTCACAGTCTCCATGTATGCAGTGGGGATCCATTTTTGCTAGAATGGTATTTGACTTTATTTTTTAGCTGACTTGAGCCAGAACTCCCAGATAATCCATGCTGCCTACACATTAAATCTCACTTTGTCTAAGTTGGTTGAGCCAAGGACTTGCCAGGAGGAGTGACTCAGGCATAGGGATAGCCAAGTTCCCATGAAAGTCTATCCCTCTGGGCTCTGTGGGTGCAGATGGCTCTGGCAACTTCACAATAAGCTCAGGCTCAGCTGCAGCACTGAAAGCATGAGCTTAATGTGCCTCAGTTTCATGTGGTTTAAATAACAAATTTTTTTGATGCAAAAAACCCCAACCAAACTCTGTTGGAGGATGTGTCTCTATTCATGCTGAAATAATGTGAATCCCATATTCCAGTATTCCTTCTATTTCATAAGATCTCATGAAGCACCATTCCTGCAGCTGCCTCTGCAGGCAGAAGCTAGTGGTGCATTCATGGGAACAGCCTCTGTCCCTTTATGCTGTAGGAGGGGCTTACACAGATGTCCTTGAATGCTTTCTGCATCTTCAGTTGTTGTAGTTTTCAGGAAGCAAAATGGTTTTGCAAGGCCCAAGGTTAGCTGGAGCCAGACTGTACTAATTCTGTAGTTTATCAATACTGTGATATTGTAATACTTCTCTAAGTAGATGTGAATGTGAGAACAGGGGTGAAAAGGGAAATGTGCAGTCGGAGAGAGGGTGAGGAAATGCACATAAAGCAGGAAAGAAATGAACTTGAAAGCAGAACATAGATAATAAAAATAGAAGCAGAAAAGGAAATTTGAAAAAAACCAAGAAGTAAAAAAGACATTAAGAAAAAAACACAACAAACCTTGATTCTCTTTGTCATAAGTACTTGGCTCAACTGCAACTGAGTCTGCAAGATGGAGATGCTGATAGTCTGCAGTGGGCATTGCTCACTTCTGCACAGATTCAAATGCTACTGCTAGGGATACAAAGAACAAATAGTGTCCAGGGAGAGCGAATGAGAGAGAAAGCAAAAGAAAGTCTTAGATCAATAGGGTGATTTAAACCTGCTCAGTATCAGAGATTTTGTAATATGTCATGAGATCCTATGGAAAAATGTGCACTTTTTGCTGAGGTTTTCTTATTTTCTTCTGCTGAATTTTGACCTTATTTCCTTTATTCATACTACTGACACATCCAGGGGAGTAGTGGCTCCTGGAAACAGTAAAGTTGGAGAGAGAGTGAGGAAATGATTAACTGGAAATTTGAGTTTCATGCAGATATTTGTGGGAGAAGCAGCTTTAAGGAAAAATGGTTAGACTGTGGTGGCTGGCTCTGAGACTCAAATTCCTGGACAGTGGGAGCCTCAGTTTGTGCTCCCAGGCTCACTGTGCAGCCCATGAGGAGTGGAGCAGGGAACCATCCAAATTCTTGGTGGTTGCTGCTGAGACCTAAGCAGTAAGTGGGTATGTTTGAAACTCAGGTCCTCCTGCAGGAGTATCATTCCATCTGTTTGTGATCTTGCAGTGTGAGGGACCAACAGGTTTGTCATGAGAAAGCTGTGGGAACAATCAGGACAAGAGGTTTCCTTCTTTTCACAATATGTGAATTAAAACATCTCCCAGGAAGTAAGAGATCCACATTTAACTTATTCCTTTACCAGAAAGGATTTAAATAGCTTTCCCTCCAAATTGCAGCAATCAATAGCTGTTCAATTTACTGTGGGAAAGAGGCTCTCTTTTTTTTCTGCATGATAACCAGAGTAGCTGGGGTGTTCATATGGAAGAAGGTTTCTGTTTCAGGATCATTAAATAATCATTGGATAAAACGCCTAAATTCTGTCTAACTGTGGGTTTGGGCTGGACTCTTGATTAAGTGGCAAAGCATTTGAATTTTGCTTATTTTACAGAGCACATATTAAAAAATAAACAGGATACAGGAATCTGGCTTGCAGTCAGAGGACATAAATCTTGTCCTGGAGGTCACCATCCTATAAGACGGAAGCAAACAAATCTATCTAAAAACACGGTTTCAATACTTTTTTTGCTGACTGACCAAATTATGTTAAAAGGAAGTCAGTTCAACATCACATTGACCTTTTCTCTGTGACGATGGCTATCATTGATTCAGTTACCTTAGTTTCTTTCAACAAGCACAAAGGGTTAATATATAAAGTATTTTGATTTAGTATATGGCTTTTGGACTATATTAACCCATTTAAATAGTCTGTTTCATTGTTACTAATCAAATCTGTCTTCAGCTGTGCAGGTTTTACAACTGACTAAAAAATAAAAGAAAAGAAACAAAACTTAAATATGTCTTCAGTTTCAGAGGAGCTGAGCACACTACAACAATTGTAAACTTCAGTGGGAGTACAAGTAGTCACTTCTGGAAACAAAACTTCATACAGTTATCTAAGTATTCTCAACTTGGGAGCAGGCCCTGTCCTGTGGAAAGATATAAACTTCTAAACCAGTTAGTTGTTTTTAAGGTTTTTCTCCAGCACTCCATCAAGTTTGAAAATTTAGTTCCAGTTATAATTAAGAAAGTGAAGGAAATCAGTACATTTCGATGTTTTCATCAAATAGCTGCATAGGTCTTTTCTTTGCCCTCCAGCAAAATCAGCAGCTTAGATAGATATTTTTGGATTTTTTTGAAATAGTTTCTTTTTTAGCTCTGAAAAACAGATAAAGAAAAAATACAGAATTAAGAGTTATTTGTTGAGACCAGAGACTCCTACATTTTGGAATGGAAAGAGAAAAAAAAAGTAGTGCTACTATTATGAGTGTTTCAGCTGAGAACTCAATAGTGTGTAGCAAAATCACTGCTAAAGCTAAGGAGCTGAAGTTCAAAGCACACACCTATAATGTGGGGAATAATAAAAAGATGAAAGGTTTGAATGGATAGAAGGCTCAAGATTTGTTGGTCTTTATGGAATGTAATTAATTTTTAAGTCCTCTTTTGACTTCATACAGTTCAGCTTAACTCACAGGGTCATCCTTTACAGTTTTACATCTGATAATTTGATTATGAAAATGAACTCTCCCACATAGCAGGGAATGCTAGCAGTCTTGTTCTGATAAGAGATATTTATACAGCACCACCAAATGACTTAAACATAAAGGGGCCATGTGCTTATCCTCATTTCTGATGACGAGTTCACTGTAGCTATCTAAAATTTGTCAGCACATGTTCATTTGGGGCCAGTGCTTTCCAGTGCTGCTTCAGAGCAACAACTTTAACTTGGATGTTCTGTGAATTTAGTTGCTGTGAATTGAGATTCTTTCTTTATGCTCACATCTTGAAATGGTGCCGGTAGTGGACCTAACTTTTAATCTATCCTTGATCAGGGAGAAAGGAAAATCTAAGGAATCTTGGGAAGGGGAGCAAGGGAAGAAAGGACTAATTTTTGTAAAAAGCAATATAATTGATAAATTTGCATAGCTGAGAGGTGAGTGAGCATAATACACTTGCTGTAAAGTGTTCCTTAGCAAGCCATGACAGCGAAGTAGGATTCCAAATCACAGTCATCTGTGGTTAAGTTTGGGGAGATGATGGTAGAATAAATGTGATGAAAATTATGTTTAGACTCACTGCTTACTGTCTCCTCTTTTCTTTGCCAAATGATGTAATCCAATAATCTTTTTCATTTATGCCCATAGCACAAATTCTGTCTTCAGTTACACAAATGTAAATTCCCATAGTCATAGTTTTTATCATATTAAAAGCAAATGTTTGCTGTTATATTACAGTGAAGTCTAGACTGCTGTTTCTAAAACACGGTATACTGTAACGTGTGTCAGTCTGCACAGATATTTTGTATAAGACCCCATTCTGTTAAAAAGTGAACGCTTTATTCATCACGGGTTTTTAAGTGTAATACCAGTATATGAAAGAAGTAACACAAGACTTTGTTCCAATGCTGCAAACATTAATAGCTGAGAAAAAATATGATCTACTAGTGCATTTCTGTGTTTCCAACAGTTGTATAAACTTCAGGTCAGCTAGAGTTGTATAAACTAGAAAAGTGCAGTGCACGTAAGATTTTATTTATAGAGAGGCTTCTGTGTGGAAAAGTCATTAAACCCTTTCACAAACTGTCTTTTTATACAGGAATCATTTATCTGGTAATGAAAGTCTTAAGTGGCTAGGCAAGTATCTTTGGAAAGAGAGAAAGAAAAATAATTCTAGATGTTTTCTGAGCTAATATTTGTTCTTTTTATGGATCTTTGAAAACTTGTATGGTGTGGCAGAAAATTTGTCTAAAATTTAATCCTAAAGCCCTTGTATGTGAAGAAAAAGACTCAGTTATTATTTGGAAGCGATTTTTCAAATCTGAGTTCCTTGTTCTAGCAGATACCCTATAGTTATGGGATCTCAAATACTTTGGATTTGGAAAGCTTTGGGCAGAAAGCTTCCTAGGCAGTGGAGAGACTGTGAAACACCCAAGAGACAGCTGGGTGGGACAAAAATTCAGTCACACAGTTTGTAGTGTGATTTTCTCCATATATGTACTCCATAAGAGCTTTCAGCTTTTAAGTGCACTTATCAGTAGGTTTCCTAAGCCCTGAACTTTGGTCTTCAATGAACTGGTAAATCTGGGATTAAATGAAAAATTCTGATTCTGCCTAAGTTTACACAGGACTGTGTTCTCACTTGTTTTTCTTCAGTCTTTACAGATTTTCTGCAGTCAAATATTAGGGAAGGACTTTCTAGTTGATCATCTTACTTGATTTTTAAATACTGATATTAATTCCTATTCTCTCCAGTCACCAACAGATTTGATGTCTGTGTTTGCAGTCACTTGCTTTGGATTCAAGATGTAGCTCTAATTCTAAAAAAACCTCCTTCTTCATTGTTCCTATTAAAAAGAATCTAATTTGGCATTTTTTTCTTATATGCACCATTATTCAGTATTTTATTTAACCTATGGCTGATTTAACATTGTCAGTTATAGATCACCTGTGCTGGAATATTTTAGAGGATTCTTCGGTAGTATGTTTGGATGATCATTAGTTGCCAGAGAGGGATTTTGGAATCAGGATAATTGAGGTGGGAAGGGACCACAGGAGGGCTCTGGTCCAAACTGCTGCACTATGCAGGGTCAGCCACAAGCTCAAGCTGGGGTTGGTCAGGGCTTTGGCCAGCCTCAGCATCTCGTTTCAGCTTCTTGCCCTCTGCAACGCACCATGGGCCTGACTCCATCTCCTCCAGAACCTCTGTGCAGGCACTGGCAGGTCCCTGGTAGGTGCCTGAATCCATCTGTTCCCCAAGCTGAGCAAGTCCCCTTCCCTCAGCCTTTCCTTACAGGGCTCCAGCCCCAGACCAACCGAACCATTGGTGTCCATTTTGTATGGAGGGGCCCAAAACTGGATGCAGTATTCTCAACATGGTCTAGAAAACAGTAAAAAATAAAAAATAGAAAATTGTAAATGTTCTACTGACATTTTAGTGACCAGAATGAGACACGTGGGCTCAGAAGAGGAACAGTCATCAGTTGATCTAAGGGCATGAGAGGAGAAAAGGTTCAAAAATACCCTTTCTGAGAGTAACAAAGTTCAGTCAGCACCAGAGTTCAGTATTTCCTGGAGAACTTTCTGTAACTGACTGCATATAATTTGTCTTGTGACTTCAATCCCCACATATCTCAGTGCAGTGCCTTTCTCTAATCATTGCATTCATCCATACACAATTCTCTCTCATGGAAGTACACTGAAGACACACAGTTTGAGAGGATTGATCCCATTTCCTCAGTACACAGGACTTGTGAGTCATTGCCACTACTTGTTTGAGCAGTATTACATGTAAGCATCTTAGTTGTATCTAAACACCCACACTGAAGTTTTTATGTAAGATTCAAATGTACCTGATTAGCATAAGAAAACCCAGCACATATTTGTAGAGCAGGTGCAAGCAATGTCTCATCTCTTCCTGAACAAAAGGTAATACATTCCCACAAGTGACTTAATCCAACCTTATCGTTAAAAATTATATGATTGTAAATGGATACAAAGGAAAGTTAAAAAGCTTCAAGTAATGCACTGTAATTATTAGTTAATATTCAAAAAGGGCAAGACGTTCAAAAAAAAAAGAGAAAAAATACACCACTAACTACCAACAACTAATTCACACACATTGCATTAATTTTAAGAATTAATTATGCTGTAAAATTTAAGCTTAAGTACATACAGCACGTGCAACGTAGGAGTGTGATGTAACAAGATCTGCAGCTCATGTTTTGACTTGTAGATTTAAAACCTAAGTGAATTGAAAGTAAATGTAAACCTGGAGGTTTTAAGTTTTATGATGCGGAACCCCATTGAAAAGGGAGAGTAGGAACTTGGTAGAATATGAATGATAGTAGTAGTCCCAAATTCATTTTATGATTTTTGTCACCTCAGTTAAAAATTGTTCAAGTATATATGCAACGAAGCATATTTAATTACTGTATACAGAAAAAGAGAGGAAATATGATAAACATTTCCTGATAAGAGGTCACAATGAGGTGACAGGATGTGAATTGGGCCTGGGTAATAAAATTTGTGTGTGAATGTGTACAGCAGGGAGTAAAAATTACCTGGGGAATTTAGTCCTATTGAAGAGTAAGATCTGTTGTGGATGACTCCCATCTAGAGATTTTCTAACCCTGGAGGAGAAAAAGGCACATAAAGGCTGATTAGATCAGCTCCAGGTTCTTCCAACCCAGGAAGCACTGCAGGGATGGCATTAGGGGACAGCCCTCTCAGTGACAAAGGCGAGCAAGGACAGGCCAGCTCTCCAGCCTCTCCTCTGCCCGGGGCTGGCCCCAGAGGTCAGGTCATAAGGAGAGGGGGCTGGACACTGGAACGGGCCTGCAAGGAAGCTCCCAAGGACTGCCAGTTATTAATGACCACTAATGCTCTTTTTAACAGGCTTATGAAGCACAGGGAGGTGCAGCAATAGTTGTCTGGATTGCTGAGCTGCTATTTATTGTATATTTACTAAGAAGAGGTTTTCTTCTGGTAACCTGAGTTTTGTTAATCTTTGTTAAATGTGTTGGCTGAGCATTTATATGCTTTTTCTATGTTTGTTTGGAAGACAGAAATTGCACTTCAGTTTTTCAATGGGATTTTTTTGTTCAACTGAATTTTGAGACTTTTTTTGTTTTGCCCCTTTTTTTTTTTTAATTTTCCTTAGAAACAAAATCTGCACATTTTAAAATTCTTTCCAAATGAAATTTTCAGTTAGATAGACTCGGCTTCAGGAAGTGTTGGGTAAAGATAGAAACTCTAATGCAAGATAATTCTCTCAAAGTTTTGCTAGCCCTTCTTTTTTGCTGCAGTTGTTCCACGAGAGTTTTTTACATTTGTGAATGTGGGAAAAAATGTTTGTGGCTCTGCAGACAACATGTTAGGTGTGCAGAGTGGCAGAGTTTTTCAGAAGCAAAAAGAAGCTATGAAAAGGCACTCTGGCCAGGCTTTGAGACCAGATATAAAATCATGCTCAAGCTTATGCAGTTTTTCTATGTGCACAAATATATAAAAATCTGCCTAAATGTAAAAGATTTAATTTAGCTGTGCTTTTATTCATAAGGTTTTCTTAACATGACAGGAGCTAGTTATGCTGATTTATTTAGTCTTTAAACCATCTAGGCATTAACGTCTAAGTATGCTTACAGTCCACAAAGAATCTGTTGGGAACGGAAGTGGGTCATTCCTACTTGATTTCTAAAGTGAACCAGTGATTACAGGGCAAGGCGGCCATGTGTGCAAGGTGCTCACTAGAGATTTTAAAACCTAAAGGGAAGGCACTAGTTCTGGATTGTAATTTATAAAGATGTGCAGAATGTTGGTTAACTTTGAACAACAATACAAAGAAAGTCAGTTTTATTATCTCTTGAGAAGCATAATGTTGGAATTGCATAACAAAAAAGTATATTTAACTGGCTGTATTCTGTGATAGTTGCTTGATTGGATATTGGTAAAAAGATATTAAATTACAGAGAATCCAACAATTGAACTTCAAAGGTAACAAAAAGGAATCCTTTAGCTACGTAGGTTACAAACTATTCAAAAGCTTTTCTGTACTGGTTTTCAGCAAGGATCTATAATTGTTTGTAATAGATTTTGGTTTTCATCATCTTGGTTCTAGGGCTTACTGAAGCTTCCTTATGCCAGAGCAACCTGAGTATTTCCCACATACCAAAAACCTTCTGAGTAAGGTAGAACTGATTATATCATTTTCTTCTGCCAGGTTTTCCTTTGAAGAAATTGTGAAGAACTGGCATATTGCTGAGCTCACCTTCCCAATATGTTTCCTGTAGCAAGAAGTAGTCCCTCAGCTTAAGAAACAAACCAACCAACCCCACAAAAACTAAGCAAACAAAAAGCCTGTTTGCCTGCTCACATTAAATATCAGTTCTGGGAGTGGTTAAGCTCTGTTAAGAAGTTACCCAGAAAAACTGTAGAATGTCCATCTTTGAAAATTTTAAAAACTTGACTTGATGAGGTTCTAATCAACCTGATATAACTTCTAAGTTAGTGGTGCCTTGATCAGGAAGTTTAATTAAATTACACCCAACCATCCCCTCAGCAGGAATCTCTCCATGAGAAGTTAAATCAGTCAAGTATATTAACTTACTGAATTCTGGAAACAGGATCCATTCAAATGTGGTTTAGAAGAGTTTGTTTTCTTAAGCACAGACAGCAGCTCTTTTGGGGCTTTCTTTCAAGTTTTTTTTAAAAATACATTCAGAATTTTTCCAAAAGGAAACATTGAAAACTGTTAGCAGCACAGACTAGTAACTCAGAGAGGTGCTCTCTGAGTGCAGAGTGTCTGTGTCACATATGTAACTTCAGCAGGTGTCTGTTGCCCCCTTCAGACTATTCCCAGTACTAGAGAAAAATAATTAGTTGGAAATTAATAGCATTCTTTTGCACTAATTTTTGGATGGAGATAGGGAGAAAAACTCTAAGAAGAAAGATACTATTAAGATAGTTGCTGAATGTTTTTTGATATTAGCAAAGGTTTTTCTTTGTGTTAGAAATGCACAGCAATGAAATTATCTTAATCAATATGACAAATGATACTTAAGTTACATCTTTAGCTCTCAGGTTCAATAGTCACAACTGAGGAAAAAAGATCTTAGAGCAAAGGCTGCAGACTGGGCTGTGGAAACTTGGAAATCAGTTCAAGCTTCCAGGGTGCATTTATACAGTTTTGGTTAAGTGATTCTAACTCTGTGATTCAGGTCTTCATATGCAAAACAAATTATGCCCTATTTCCCCTTTCACCTTCCTTCCACTTCAGAAAAATCTTTTGTAGCATGATCAGTGCCAGGCTGGCAGAAGGTCTTCCTTCCTAAATCCACAGATGGGGGATTGCACAACTGGATTCTAGTTGCCTAAATATACCTGTGTGTACATGCAGTGCTCCATGTCCATACACTTACATACCGGTGTCTACATATGTGTGTTCAATAGCCCCCTAATCTCAGCTGAAGTGAAGTACTCCCTTTAAAAAGAACAAACCACCACCTCAGTGAAAATGCAGGCTCGGTCAGTATGACAAGGACAACTGCAGCTAGAAAATACAGTCATATCATGAAGTTAAGACCTGGTGTCTGGGATGTAATGTGGTACTTTGTTTTAGCTTACCCGAGAAGGCTTTTTAAAATAGACAAAAACAGAAGTTCTAAAGGAAGATTATCTTATGCATTGTCTTTTTTCTGTAGGGAGATAAAACTTTTCAGGAGCATAATTTCTATTTTGTATCCATCTTCCCCTAGCATAGCCTGTTGAGATAACAGCACATATAAATACCAGCCTTTTATAGGGTGATATTGCTTTAATATTCCTCACACACAATTTAAACAAAATGTCTAAGGAAGAACAGCGATACAGATTTGATGGTGCACTTCATTCCATATACCTCATAACATAAAGGTTTCCCGAAAATAAAACTTATATTTTTCAAAAGGGAAAGAAATACTGATAGTAGTTTTTCAAAACTAAAATAGTTATTTTCTACTTTGGTGAAGCTGGGTTTTCAAAGCTTATGAGTGAAGCTCTCACATACATACAATATATTCTATTTCCTGTCCTATTGTTACTCATTTTGCTGCTAATAGTAAAAAAAAAAAAAGGTAAAGTTTTTATGTTTCACATGACAGATTCTCACCACACCAAGGAAAAGCTTGACACCATCCTTGAAGTTAAATCACCCTGATGTGACAGAAGGTTTCTCCTGTTCACACAGATTATACATCCTTTGAGATGTAGTGATGCAGATACATCACTGAGGTATGTTGAGTGTTTCCTTTGTCAGCTTGCTGCCTTTTTTGTTTAACCCTATAAGTTTGGGTTTATCATCCCCACTCCTTGGCACTCAATGATGTAGGTATCATTACTGGGATCTTCGTCTTCTGCTTTTGTCACAGTAAATTTGGCCTAAAAGAGGATTAGAAATATATCACAAATTAATTTATCACACACAGAAGTTTAAATATTCAATATCTGACACCAAATCATTGTATTGCCATGTGTTTATATATATCAGAGCTTTAACAGGTTAAATTAAAAAAAATTTAAATAAAGGTGGTTAAAGTATCTAACCATTCTAAAAGCATTTAACTTTAAAGTATGTTCATTTTCTACAGGAAAACTCCCATGTAAACATTGTAGCAATAATTTTATCCATGCTTATCCTCCATGATCAAGTTCAGCTCACAATGCCTGCTGAACTCTACATTGCCTAGTTAGTTACTGGATGACAACTCATAGGTAAAACTTCCTGAATTTTTGGACTCACCTTTGTTAGCTGCTCTGCAAAGTGTATAGCTGTTTGAGTATGAAGTGTAATTGGTCCACTTTTCACTCTAGACACTCCCTTTGCTAGAGCCATAAAAATGATCAGCTGGAAGGGAGGGAAGGGGAATTATTAAGTAATTCTTCAGATTCTAGGAACCTACTGATGTTAAAAAAAAAAAAGGGAAAATTTGCAAAATATCTGTAGATGTAAAAGTGTGGTCTGCCATGTTTCATAAAAGTTCACGATCTTGATTTTTAAGAAGTTTGGAAATTACTATTCTAACACCTATTACCAAAGGGCTACTACTTTTCCACAGTAGATGCCCTCGAATCCTGTTACTATATTTAACTTTACTCTCCCTCACTGTCTTCCCCAAAATTCCCCAAAGTCATGTCAGACTCCAGGTTAGTAGAATACCTATACAGAGAAAAAACCTCAGGAAGAGGTTCTTTAATTCTAACACTTCCTGATCACATATTCACCAGAGAGATAATGAAAGACATTTGATTTGATTTACAAACGTCACCGTGACAAGTACTCTGTAATGTGTGATACAATTCTGTGCAGTTCCATATACACCTAATCTGGCAGTGGTTTGTTCCCACCAATGGTACTGTGCATGCTTTGAAAAAAGTAGGATGAGTCCAAGACCTAAACAGCTCCTATTACACTACATAACAGTAATGTCTGCCCAAGTGTTTACAGCTAAGAGGTAACATCATCCTATCTAAAACAGCCCAAGATTCTTTTAAGACAGTGGAGGGCTTTCATGCTCAAATGAAATTAGGTAAGAAAGACAAATGGGAGCACCTCCTAGATATTCTGTTCTCTAATAACTTCACTTAGTATCATTCTTTATATATAACCAGGGAGCTATTTTCACACCACTACGTGGAATGTCAAATCGAAGCGAATTCCTGCCTCTTCCATACTTACTAAGAGTTTCAGGAAGGGAAAAATTGAGGGTGATGGTACAAAGCCAGGAGCATTTGTGGTTCCTAAGAACTGTAAGTAATTTGCTAATTCTAGTGATGTTGTGATCACACATCTCTAAGACTTCTAATTAACATCTCATTCTTTCCCTGTTCAGATTTATATTCTTTACAAGTAATACATACAGGCATGTTCTTACTACTTCAGCTTCATGTAAACACACAGGAGCCTTACCTGGTCTTGCAGAGAATCATCCACAGTTCCACCATGTTTAAGATTCTTAAGCAGCATCTCAGCTGCTTCAATGCCAACCTTGTCAGAATTCTTTCCTAATAGAGAAATACAGGATATTAGGAAGCTGACAATTACTATTTAACATTTTAAAAATACAGAAGGAAAAAAAAAATTTTTTTTGACTTTTTAAACCTTATTTTCATGCTCTTGCCTCAAATGTCTGCTTTAAAAACCCTTCCCATCTTATGATGATGTATAGTTCATACTTCCTAAGCAGTGGAATGAAAGTGGCCCCCTTTTTCAGAAAAACGTTTGATTTCAATAGTTAAAACCCAAAATCACTTCTATTCATTTTAATCTAGATTCACTGTTGAACAAAAGCTTCACAGGTAAACCACAAAGTCCATGTTCCTGAAGTCCAGAAACATTTTCAGCTCAGTGATCCTTAACGCTCCATTCTGATAAAAGGTAAGGCTGTAGTTTTGTCATTTTTGTGAATTTCCATTTACTGTTTTAAATCTGCTCATTTCCACTGTCCTTTATTACTAAACAACATCCATTTAAAAATGCATCACTCAAAGCATCAGCTCTTTAAACAGATGATACTTCAGATTCCTATTTGTTATTAGTATATTCAGTTAAATCTCAAAGACTTCATGGAATTCTTACCTCTCTTGCCAAGCGATGACCCAGCTAACAAACAACCTGTTGAAGTCTCTGCAACAATGCTAAGCACAAAAAAACAGAATCAAAATTAGGAATAGAATCACTCACACTACACTTTATTTATCAGACATGTAATCAAAATCTAGCTAATCAACCAGCAAGGTTACAGGTATCAATAGAAAGTTTGGACTCTTACATTATTCCACTTCCAGTCCCAACAGCTTGATCATCAGGTTCTCGAACAGGCTGAATGTTAATATAAAGATCTCTGATTTCTCTTCTGATGCATCTCACTGCTGCTGATGACATGTCTTTTGCCAGCTAACAAGATAAGACACAAAACCAGTAATCAAATTATATAACAACAAAAGTACTTTTTCTTCATAAGTCTAATAGAGATAGATATAGAAACTTCAATATCATCACAATTTCAAGAACTTTTCTTCATTCTTAGGGAGAAAGATTTCAGTTCTGAGTATATCAAAACACTAGATTCTAAAAAAACCCCCACAAATCCCCTAAAAACCAAATGCAAAACCCCCACAATTATTAGAATTATTAGAATATATGTACAGGATATATTCTGTAAGAGATAATACTAAAAAATAACAATTTTAAATCACAGGCAAGTGGGGACAGATGAAGCTTATCCCATCCTTGTGATCTAATCACAGCTAATATTCATAGGTTTGGGGGTTTTAAGACCAAAACCAGCAATCCACAGCTCTTCAAAAACTAACTCAATTCCTCCTCTTCCTTCCTCTAATAATTCCTAGCCTGTGTGTGAGAAGGAACCTTAAGGAGGTCTCACCACTCAGAACAGGAAGGGGGTATAAAGAAGCAAATTTCTTTCCATTTTATTTTTGGCTAAACCTACCCTTAACTTGTTCTAATACTCTTAGCAATGGTTGAAAAATGTGATGTTTTCTGACTTCTGCCTATTACAGTGCACCATACCTTACCCATAAATCTATGAACAAGAGCCATAATTCCAGATTTAAAATAATCCACATAAATAAGAATGATATATAAATCAGATATAAGATACCCCTCAATACATGCTAAATAGTCATGTGAAGGATAGTGAGGATAGTGTTCTCATTTCCTGTTTTAGCTATATATTGCTATGCAAGAACTGCATTTTAGAAATGTCCAATATACTGTTTTACAGCCTGAATAACTGAAACCATTTAATAAGGCTACTACTGAGTTTGTATGGGAAAGACTGCAGAATACTGGAACAGTAGAGGAATGTTAAGCAGATTACATGCAATTTTATATAGATATATAAAGCTGTATACTACCAGAACTATTATCAGCACTTACTTTGATAGGCAGTGCTCCAGCAACAAATGCTCTTCCATATATCTTTGTCACTGTGCCACGTTCTGTTAAGTTGATCGGGCTCAACTCTTTGACTGGAGACATCCGGACCACAACTTCACCACCTCCCTGAGGATAGTAGCCCCTATTTAGAAACAGTAATCAGATATAATTAAACACAAAGATCACAAAGAAACCAAGAAAAGGGCCAGAAGGCTCTTCATATATTTTTATGTTCTCTGTTACTGTACGTATGAATTTTCTTGATGTGTGGCTTCGAAACCTTTATAATGGAATTATGTTCTCTTACAGTATTACTTCGTAATGTACATCTTATTAACTACCTCACACCAACCTAACTGGCACCTCAGGAGAAGCTCAGTAGTATGCTGCCTGTTCAGCATGCACTGCCCTCAGGGGCAGCCAACAGGAGACATTACACAGCAGCTGTAGCATCAGCAATGAAAAACAGACGGGGAAGAACCATCTCACATTCATCATAAGGTGACAGTACACACAGGGACAGCTAATGCAGATTAGTTCATGTATTATAAATTCATCCCTCAGTTTGATTGAGAGCACCTTGTGTGTGCCTCTGTGCTCACACACAGGTTCAGAGTGTGCCTCCGCCACGTGACTCCACAACTCACCTCTTTTTTATGTCACAGTTAAATGTGAAGTTGAACTTTTCAATTATTGGCTTAAAAACCTGAAAAACAAACACATATAAAAACACAGAGGGTATTTATTTTGCATTGATAATTTCCCACTATTTTATGCAGTCTCCAAAAAAAAAAAGAAAAAGGCAAGACAAAAATTTCAGTTACATTATTGAAAAGAAAAAAATATAGCCAGTCTCATGCATACAGCTTATTTGACATTCCTCATACTTCACTCTGAATGCCACTTTGTGTAAAAGGATTTTCTTAAGGAAAAAGGAAGATCAAATCACAGCCCTTTTAGAATAAAGAATATATTTTAAATGAAAATTTCTTTAGTAATTAAAACCAAACAGACTATTTGCTGTTTCAGGAAATTCCATGAAACGTTGGTTGCTCTCTACGTACAGTACACTAATAGTGTTATATTCCCATGCCTAATTCCATAATCACAAATACACTTGCAGTAAGAGCAACAGAAGTACAGCAGTTACATTGCACACATATTCATGAAAGATGCACCAAGCCAAAGGAATTTTTCCCTACCATGACTGTGTAGTCTATCTGAGGAGCCATCTCAGCATTAGTCCCACCTTTTAAATGAAGCTCTGATGGGGAAGCAGCAAACAGCACACAGGGCATTGCTACCTGCATCAGTAGACACACGCTCCTAAAAGAAATTATAAGACACTCAGATGTCATACAGTCATAACTCATAGAATTCCATAGAATCATTACATATCACAGGCTTTCCAGAGCATTTACATACTTATTTTATCTTTGAAATTATCTGTAAAATTGTTAGTCTTAAAAAAATATTAATTTAAAACTTCATGTCCTTAGCAAGCCTAAATATGAAGGTTTTTATTTCACAAAAATTGCATCTTTAATAGTCTTGTTTGAAATAAAAGTAATGTATCTTATCTAGTATACTGATGGGACTGTGAAAACTGTGGGTTTAGCTAGCAGATGATAAAAGCAGACAAGGCTTAGGCAGCAATAACATTTTAATACTTATTTAATAACAAAATACTAAGAAAACTATAAAACTGCTTATAAGCTGGTCAGCATCCCACACAAGAGAATTCAGGAGCATAGAAAATATTAAGGTATTAGATACAAGATTACCCTATCACTGAATCTCTCCACATTTCACAGAGATAAAAATGCTTCCAAAGTAAGTTTTCCAAAAGTAGAAGTTCGTTTTGGCAAAACAAAACAGTTATCTCACAGGGCTTTCAAACATAATTTTGAATTGTAAAAACAGTAATCACCACAGAACTGAGAAAACATGAGTTTGTTTTCTTAAATAACTCCCAAATGTTTGTGAACCATAGTGTTGATCTTTTTTTCTTGTGCTTAATTACCAATTCTGCTGCATTGTGGCTTACTCAAACTTTTCTATGTTAAGTTAAAGGCATCAGCTTGGTTGTTTATACTACTGCAGCTCAGAAAAATATTTCTCTTAACTTAAAGGGAACTTTAACTTATGCCTGCTCTGGCTTATGCTTCCAAACAACTGTTCACACCAGCCTTCCATAGCTAAACCCATTTACTCAGTTTTGCAACAGATTCCAAGAACAAAGGACCCAACACAGAAATACAGAAGAAACACAGACACAAGAACTGTTGATAGAATATGTTACCAGTTCCAAAAGACTAGTATCGCATCTTGTACCACTATGTGTGTAAGTAAACTCTTAAAATTTACTTTACTAGGTAATGATTATTTCAGACTTCATGGATTTGAGATACTTATCTAATTTAATGCATTTGATCTGATACGTAACATACTAATGTGAGAAAATAACAGCTGAAGTTTTAAAGACATGAGCAGATATTTTTTGCTTAACATGAATCAAGTGTTCAAGTTTTATAACAATTGTAATTTTAAAACTATTATACTTGCATGTATTTTATTCATGCATATCCTTCCTATACTACGGGTTCTTTGGTAACATAAATCTGACTCAGGCAACACATCTTCTGGGTAGAAGATCCATGTCTAGATGTTCTTTTTTCCCCCAGTCTTCTGTTACAATATTAAAATTACAAGAAGCCATGTACAAAGACATACCCTGCTGTTTTTGTATCTGCTATGTGGGTTCCACCTTTGATCTTCCCAGGAGTGAAGGTTATTTCTGTTGAGCCAATTTCTCCACCATTCAGCTTCCCATCACACAGATCTCGAACAACCTCCAATCCAGACAGATGCTGAGGCCTTGGAGCGACAATGCAAAGTTAAAGATATATGCAAGTAGACTACATACTCATGTTACATTAAAAGAACTACTATACACCAACTAATAGAAACTACAATTGCAAATTTCTGATCAGTCAAGGACCAGAAATTCGCTCTGGTTGCTACAGTACTTCTCCTGAGTTCACAGGAGCCAAAGGAGCAGCATTCAGGCCATTCTGGAGTAGGCAGGATTCTGGTATCTTTTCCATTAGAATGAGTCCAGACAGACAGATGAGATGCAGGAGCAGTCGCTTGTCCTAATGTGATAAGCACTTGGACAGAAACGGAATGGATAAGGATGGCAATACTGGCAGAGCTAGAGCTGGCTGTAGTGCCACAGGAGAGCTAACACGTTTGCTATGTATGTGTCTTCTTGTGCTTGCGTTTCCATTTGTTTGGGTAGCTTACATAGGAAATACACTAGCTGTCCTTAACACTGTACGCTCCGTGAGCCACGTTTCGCTGATGCATTATATGACTGTATTTCGTGTTTCATTCCGTGTTTTAGCACCTCTGGAATCATTCCGAGGCGGCAGCCCTCACCTGCCCCGGCAGCGGGCGAGGGGACCGAGCCCGGTTCATCCCCAGCGCTCCCCCGCGGGCACTCCTCGAGACCCACAGACGGCATTTGCTGCTAACAAGGCTTTCTCAAAGCAATGGAAACACCAGTGTTTCAGACGAGAGCAGCGGAGGCTCTTTGCGCGTGCCCGGGAGGGCCCCACACTAAGTGACCGGCCGAGCGCCCCAGGGCCGCCCGGGGCGGGTCTCACCTGAGGCCGGGCTGGTTCCGCCCGGCGCGGATCCGGCGCACCCGCAGCGGCAGCCCCAGCAGGCAGCTCAGCGCCGTGGACACCCGCAGGATCTGCCCGCCCTGCTCGGAGAAACGGCGCTCGTCAGGCGCTGCGGCACCGCCCGGCCGGGACCGCAGCCCGGGGCCAGATAAGCCCGGGGCCCGCCGCTGGCGCTCACCCCCTCCATGATCCCGCCGTCTATGTCCACCCTGTCCCCGTCCATGGCTGTCGGCGAGCGGTGTCTCTCGCAGAGGCCGCGCCGATGGGGTCCCGGTAGGGCCCTGCACAGGGCGAGCCCCCGGCGAAGCAGCCCCGGGGCCGAGAGCGGCAGAGGCACGTCCGGGATGCTGCGGTGCCGGTGCCGGGGCGGGCGGCGACGCGAGCAGGCGCAGAGCGGAGGCGCCTCCCGCCCGCCTGCGTTGGCCGAGGGAGGAGCAGCCGCCGGGTCCCGTTGCCCGGGCAGCGGCCGGGCGCAGCTCCCGCCTCCCCACGGTACCGACCGCGGCCCGGCACAGGCGGGGCTGCAGCGGCTCGGAGTCTTGCGGGGGGCAGTGCCTTTCCCCTGTCTCGGCCAAGGGCTAGAGCGGTGACAACCGCGGCACCTGGCAGGTCAGCGCAGGGGGAGAGCGGCCGGACTGCTGCCCGCACGGTTACGAGCGAGTTTTCGTCAGAATCAGAGAATCAATTACATTGGAAAAGACCTCTGAGATCATGGCGTTCAACCTGTGACTGACCACCCCGTCAACCGTGCCATGGCACTAGATACCATGCCCAGTCTTCCTTAAACACCTCAAGGGACGGTGACTCCACCACCTCCCTGGGCAGCGCATTCCAATGTCTAATCACCCATTCTGTGAAGAAATTCTTCCTAATGTCCGACCAAAACCTCATCTGGCGCAGCTTAAGACTATGTCCCCTCGTTCTGTCGCTAGTTGCCTGGGAGAAGAGGCCGAGCCCCACCTGGCTACAATCTCCGTTCAGGTAGAAGCACAGACATGGGGGTGTTGGTCAGGCAGGCACACTCGGGACTTTATTACACGTGTATCGGGAACGGCCGGGCCCTTGGCGCTGCCCCTCCCGCTACCCAGGGAAGCCACACGCCCTGCGCCGCCGCCAGCGGCTTTGCGGTACCGGGGTCGCGTCGCGCCCGTTCCCGCGGGCGTGTGCGGGACCCGCGCGCCGCCTGCGCTGCCCCGGCCCCGCTGGCCCCGCCCGGCCCGTGGCCCCCGCCCGCCGCCTGGTTGGCTGGGCCGGCGCGGCCGCCGCCGGTTGGCTGGGCCGGGGGTGTGTGAGGGGCTGCGTTGCCCGGGGTAAGATGGCGGCCGTGACCGCGCTGAGGAGCAGCTGCCGAGCCGCGGGGCGCCTGGTAAGGGGAGCGGGGACCCCGCTCCGGTGCTCAGCCGGGAAGGGGAGGGATAGCGCGCAGCATCCCCGCCTCGGCGGCGGCGGTATCCCGGAGCCCCGGTGCTGTCGTGCAGCCGGCAGCCCGCGAGCACCGCGCGGCTGCAAACACCACACGCTCGCGGACCTTCCGCCTCCCCCGCGCCTGCGGGCGGGCAGCGCCTCAGCTCCCCTGCCCGGCCGCCTCAGCAGTGCCTGCGGACGCGCAGTGCCCCGGTTCCCCTGCCTGGCTGCTCAGCAGTGCCCGCGGGCGGGCAGTGCCCGGCTCCCCGTCCCGCCCGCCCTCAGCTCTGCCCGGCTGCCTCAGCCGCCCCCAGCCCGCCCCGCAGCCCCGGTGCGGGCACAGGTGCCCGTATCCCCGCAGGTGCCCGGCCTGCCCGCCCCGGGCTGCCCCTGGCCCTGGCGTTCAGCTGGTCCTCGCTCCTGAGGGACCCCCAGAGCTGACACCGTCGCCCCGCGCAGCCCCGGAACGTCCTCCCCGTTGCCCGTGTTCCCTGTGAAAGAAACGTGTGCCTGTCTGTAATAAGCCAGTGACATCCTTCTCTCCTGTTATTTCTAAGTCGTCTGATCCGTTGCTCTGCCTATGCGTTGCGCTGCCATCGCCGCTCCTCCGCCCTCCATCAGCTCGCTGTGCGTTGTGCATCCGCACAGCGACGGGGCGGCTACACGTACAAAAAAGGGAAACGTGTTTCTTTGATCCCGGGAGCCTTGATACTTGAAAAGTAGTTGCGATACTTTACCATAAGGAGCGAATCTACTTGGTTACCTTTTAGGACAATTACAGTCTCATAAACATGTAGTGTCGTGAATATTAATTCATGCTTTCTTCTGTCTTCTTGTATTATAGTCTTCCTGCTGTTGTGAAGAGTGTTGGTTTCCAATTATGTCACTGCTGTTTTGTGGAATGTCAGAAAAAGAAATAACTTTTCTAAGATAATATAAGTAGATACAAAATTAAGGATCAGTTCTAGTTTCCATTATTATTTTTTCTCTAAATAGTAGTTCATACTGTATTTTTAAATCATAATGGTGAGGATTTTTAAGTGGCACTTTTGTGATCTAGTTTTGGGCCATTCATAAGTAATTTTACTAAGTAAGACCATTGAGAAATAACAGTTTCCTTTTGGTTTTCTTTCTAACCATCTACTCTTAAATGCAGAGGCAGATTCTGATAAGATGAAAATGCTCATCTTATCTATGTGCATGCTGAACTGTAGAATTGGCTGGTTTATAGTGTGTTTCCTGCAAGCACATTTTGAATCTTGCTAGATGCTAATTCTTGTGACCATCTGCTGTGAAACTGTGATAAGTTCCAAGAAATAATTTGGTTATTATATTATTAAAGGGCTTCATTTTAATATTCTCTGTACCTTTGTAAACACTTTGGCTAGCAAAAGGAAGAAGGACAAAGTCACAGTGATTGTGCATGGGGGCTGTAAGTCATGAAGGAAAGAAAGGAGTTTGGGGGCCCTTGTGTAAAGTGGTAGGGAAATGGCAGTTACCTGGACACTGGGACATGTCCCAGTTATTTAGGTGAGGAGTAACCTCAGACTAAAGCATGCTACCAAGGACATTGCTTTACTATATAGGCAACTATATACTTGGAGATACAGAATATGTATGCAAATCAAGTCCAGTGTGAGTAAATATTCTTTAAAATAACTCAATGTGACAGCAAATCAAGAGAGTTCAATAGGGGAGTATCCTTTAATGAGAAGTCATTGCCTTTTAGCACAAACTATTCAATTTGACTTTGAAATTTAGTGTTGCTCCATCAGGTAATTGGTTCCCTGCAGGCTGCATAAAAATATTTTTTTCTGAGGCCAGCAGTAGATCTTTAGGATCAGTGGTAATTTAGAAAATCACAGTTGGCTTTTTTTTAAGGAAACAACCAAACCTGAACCTAAGGGGCAAGGCAGTTCTCCCCTGAGTAGCAGCAGCTCCCATGTTGGCTGGGGTCAAACCACAGTTCTTGGTCAAGCAGGCTGATGTGTCCTCAGAACTGGCCAGGGGCTGGGGTGGACCCTCATTTTCTTCTTGCCAGAGTAACTCTGCACATTGAAGTAACTCTGCACAGGAAAGGTGTTATCTTGCTGGCCATTATTGCCTTTGAATTGCAATATAGTGTGATAGTGGTGACATAAACATAACTGATAGTACTGGACTTGTTGGGTTTTTATTGCTAAATTTTTCCAGACACCAAGATATGTAGATGGGTATGCTATGGATATTAGAGCTAATTTTGTCTTTTTTATGCTTTTTTATTTCCTTATTTAGCATTACACGGAAAATACTACTATGGTGATTAAATACTGAAATTAATAAGCACAATTTATTTATTGGATTTTAATATGTTTCTTGTTAGGAAGGAACGCTGTTCTATCAAGAGATTGTGCAGTGTGTTATTACTGTAACATACTAGCACACCAACTTTTTAGTTAAGAATGTGCAAAACTGCAAACCAAAAAGATTCCATTTTTAAAAAATGCAGGAGTTTTGAATTATTCCTACAAATATAATGAAACATCATGGTAACTTTTCTATAACAAAACCAGTCTCTTTTTTTGGCAGTGTCATTACTAAATCACTACCTGCATTGGTTACCAAATGTTAGAAACACACGGAAATCATTGTGAAACTTCACATTTAGAAATAGTTCAGAGATTTGATGTGCTCCTTGTGATCATCTTCACAGGTAAATATTGAATGTTTTTCATTTAGGGTCATATAAAGAGAAAAGAATTTTATTTTAAGTTTGTGACAAAAAGGCCTTGTTGAACACCATTTCTTGCAATGTATTTATGTAAACCTTGAGGGGGAAAGAACACCAGAATCAAAAATAGGAACAAATAGGTTTGTAAAGATGTACATTATACACCACTTTTGTAATCTAATGAGAATTTTAAGTGTGTTCATAAAATATGATTTTCCATAGCTTAAAATTACCATGTAACCTAATTGTCGGATAGGGAAAGTTGTTTGGAGGACTAATGAAAAGGATTTTCTGTTTGCTTCTTATAGGAATTAGAAAAATACTTATTCTAGATCAGTAGATACAGTCTCAGTAGCAGGTGGCTGTAAAGTAACTCGTATAATATAACTTTGTTGTATTCATTGGGATAGACTGTGTTGTGTAAATGTTTGTTCCTTAAAGAAAAATGATATTAAATATAGCTTGCAATGCTAAATTAAGCAGTACATAAAATGCCTACATTGTCAGTTCAGGATTTTATGGCTTCATGAATATTCTACTTTTTAAACAGTGTAATGTAATAGCAAATAGTTGAACAGTTTGGGGTGTGGGGAGGGCAATCAGGAAGTTTCATATGCTCTGTAATTACTGAAAGGGTTTTTCAAAAAAGAAGTTAAAATGAACTTTCCCATGCAGGTGTGCTGTTTTCTGGCTCCTCTAAGAAGATAATTTCTAAATTTTACAGTTTTGAGCTACTTGAGGTACATTGTAGCACCTGAATTTTTTCATATCTCTAATTAATTAGAGATAGTATCCACAGAGAAATTATTATTTTTATAAATTTTACAGCACTGCGAGACAATATAACACCAGAATTCCATTAAATTTAAATCTTACTAAATAAGATGATGTCTGGACTAACTTGTGTTGAGATTAATAAAATACCTATTTATGTCAATGGAAGTGCTACTGGCTTCGCTTTTGACCACAATCATGATGCTTTAAAGCATAAGGTTTTGTCTGAAGAACCTTTCAGAAAATTCTGTAGACTCTTTTAAGTTTATTTTTGGATAAATATAATTGTAACCATAAAAGAAAACCATCTCATGCCCAGTTCTTAAAAAAAGGTCTTTTAAGTTATGTGAAATGATATTTACTTGAAGGTATTGCCTCCTATATATTAACAGAAACGAAAGGGCAACTCTCTGTGCCCTCTGGTGTGAATTTCCTTTCCAGTTAGTACTTCTGATCACCCTTTGATTGGAATAAGAACTGATGAAGAAAAATATGCTGGTTTTCCCTGCAGTCTGGGAGCCCCTTCCAGCATTCGTTCTGGATAAGAATATTTCAGTTGGCTGATGTAGTTGATACTATGTGTGCTTTGTGTGTGCATGCCCTGATTAAGCTAATTCCTTAGAGAAACAATAGCAAGTATGAATCTCTTACCAGATCTTGTAATGATTTTTGTTAATTGGTTATTTTGTTGTGGCTTTGATCTCCCCCTGTGTTGTGTTAGTCAAAGAAGTTAAAGACCTGGCAAGGCTTATGCTAATGTAATGGCTACTGTACATCCAAACATGTATTCAGTGCAATTGTTTCCTTAAGAACTTCTCTTACATAGACTAGAATGAAACTATTTTAGTATTATGTTGCATCAGGAATATTAAATTAGCTCCACATTCCTCAGTCCATTGTATTAACACTTGAGACTTTTCTCCCCCAGGTGTGCATTCACCGTGTTAGATGGTGCAGCAGCATTCGTGTTATAAAATCAAAATATGTGTGCGTGTTTGACAAATCTGCCCTCAAGTTTAGTCATCAACAGCGATTATTCAGAACATCTGCTGGTAATCTTTTTCATAATAAAATAATTTATTTTATTTTGCTATTTTATGAGTGTTATGTTAGCGGCTTGTATATGGCTGGTATGTAAACTTTCTGATGCATTCAGATTTTTCTGCCTGATATCTTGTATTTAATATTAAACGTGCCGTACTTTCTTATTGTCTGTTTTAAGTTTCATGTGGCCAGATTGTCCAGTTTAAGCTTTCTGACATTGGAGAAGGGATTACAGAGGTGACTGTAAAAGAATGGTAAGCTCTGCTTTCTTAGAAATGTACTGAGAAATCAAGAGGTAGTTTAACAGCTTTAGCTGTGTTATCAATTAGTTATCTGAGAATGTTTTCTGGCTTACAAGTGAAGTTTTTCAAGTTTCGTTTTCCACATTTTAAAACCTTGGACATAGTGAACTTTACATTTTGTTTATTTGTAGTTTGGTTTATTTGTGAATGGAAAAGGTGGAAGGAATGGGATGCCCTAATTGTTCCTATATATAGGATTTCCTTCAGTGATTAATGTTTTCAGTGTTTAGGAGGTCTGTCTTTTATTATGCTTACTTCGGCTGAGCTTTAGAAACAAATTACTAGTCCAGAAAATCCGCATAATTTTATCCTATACCCCTTGTCTATTGATTTTATTGAAAGATTTGAACTTTTAAATTGTTTGCAAAAGGCCAGTGATGAATAGATGAAACAAAATCAAAGTGTGCAGTGAAGAAAGGCAGTGCTGAAAAGCCTGTTCTTTGTAAAAATTCCTGTCTCTTTGTGTAGAAGATCATGTACTGATCCTAACAATTAGAAAGTAAGAACTTCCTTAGATTCAGACCAAGCTGGGCTCCTTCTTATTTTTAGATTATTTATAATCTGACAAGAAAACTCTGCTTTACCAAAATCAATGTAATGTGTGTTTGACGATATTCTAAATCACTGTGCCATTTCACAAAACAAAGGGTTCTGCAGCAGCCAGGCAAAACGCATAGGGCAAATGTATCCATTATGTAGAATTTATCTTCCTGTCTGGAATGCATTTTCATGTTGTGGGCATGTACATAACTGAACTTAACAAAAGCATACCCAGCATAGATTTTTACACTTACTGTGTTTTACAGTAGCCTGTGTCTTTTCTCTCAGGTACATAAAAGAAGGTGACAGTGTGTCTCAGTTTGACAGTATCTGTGAAGTACAAAGTGATAAGGCTTCTGTTACTATTACGAGTCGTTACGATGGCATCATTAGAAAACTCCATTACAGTATAGATGATATTGCTTTTGTTGGAAAACCATTAGTGGACATTGAAATTGATGCTTCTAAAGGTATTGTAAGATATATTTTTCTCTTGCATATTTTGTTTATTGTCATAAAAACATCAGTGACAGAGAAGTTTACTTTTTCTTCCTGAGAATCTTAAAAAGTAATATTTTTTTCCCTTTATAAGGGCAAACAAATTGAGTAGAGGAAGTTGTTATATTTTATTAGAATTTAAAATCTCAAAAGCCAGATATATCCTATTAAATATTTAGCTTAAGCAGCAGCTTTTATAAAGCAAGCTGTGTTCCCATCCACAGTAACTCAGAGAAAATGCTAAAAACTTCAGCTATCACAGAATCACAGAATGGTCGAGGTTGGAATTTAAGAAATGCTTATCATGTAGTAAAGTCAAATTTTTTATTTTCATTTGCAGGTTTTGCCTCAGAAAAAGATGTTGTGGAAACCCCTCCTATGTCTCATGAAGAGCACACTCACCAAGAGATAAAAGGTCACAAAACATTAGCAACCCCTGCAGTTCGTCGCCTGGCCATGGAGAACAATGTAGGTTTGCTGAATAAGGTCCTGTTGCATTTTATCCAGCTTTTATATGGCATTCTGACTGACTAAAAGAACATTGATCTAGAGGAAATACTTGTTTTCAAATAATTTTGAAGGTATGAAAATTGTTGTAAAATGAAGAGAATTGTGCTTTCTGATTGTTATGGTGGATAGAAAATGAATTACTGGGCTTAAAATGCAGCTCGGATGCTTTAGGCTGAAGATTAAGAAACCCCGGGACAGAAGAAGGTGGAGGGAAAAATAAAATCTCAGTTTTAGCCAGCTTGTTCTGTTTTTCAGATTTGTATTAGAGCAGAGGATATACTAGGTGATCTTTTTAAAGTATCTTTCTAATGCCTTTTTTTCCTCATGAATCTGTGAATATTCCATTAGTTTTGAAAGTTGGTGATGCACTTTTAGGAGAAAAATAAAACAATAAGTACAGAAAATTAAGTGACAAATAGCTTTCCTCAAATTCATATTTCACTATTGATCCTGTGAAGCAATTAGGAGGTAAGTAGTATCCGTAGTTCCTCCTCAAAATATGCAACTAAACAGTGGGACTTTTGGATGATTGGAACAATTAGGTTAAGTACCTAATAAATTATAGAAAGGGAAAGAAAACTGTTGGCATGTTGGATTGGTAATGGGAATGATTTTTAACCATAGCTCACAATATAGAATATTTTTATATTGCTGTAAAACTGGAGTGTCACAGCTTGTTATGTACTTTTCAGATTAAATTGAGTGAAGTTGTTGGAACAGGGAAGGATAACAGAATCCTTAAAGAAGACATACTCAATTACTTGGCCAAACAAACAGGAGCTATTTTACCTCCATCACCAAAGGCTGAAATTGTCCCACCTTTGCCAAAATCAGAGACTGTGCCAGCTACTCCAAAGGACAAAGCACGCAAAATCCCAGTACCTGTTTCCAGACCCATTGTGTTTTCAGGAAAAGATAGAACTGAACCTGTAACAGGTAAATCAAGAAATATAAAATCTTGAGACCATGTTCACAGTAGACTACCAGCAAGTGTTGCTCTGTGAAAAGCTGTCTCCTTCTGATGGGGGTGTGTTTCACGTTATTGTCATGCCAGGGAGCATGACTGTAAGAAGCTCTGTAAGAAGCGTCTCTGATGAAATCATTTTATGAAAGATTTGTTTGTGTTTTGGTTGGATGGAGTTGGGCTGCAAACTGAACTTGCTCATTCTTCAAATGTATGCTGAAACATGTAGGAGTTCTGAAATATAGGTTTGTCACAGTAGGAATCATTATGCAATTAGTGGCAAAGTACAGTGAATTTAAGGGTTTATCAGCACTTAATAACAGCATACTTCAGCATTCACACTTGTTCTGGAGAAGAGTGCCACAAAAGACTCTGAGGTTAAAAAAAGGCATATTAAAAGGGGAAGATAAAAGTTTTTTGCTTGCCTTTCGAGCAATGTTTATTTGGAGGCTGGAAAGAGTAATGCAGATTATATCATGATTTCCAATCCATACATACATAGGAGAGATATGCAGTAATATAATCTTAGGTGTTACAGTTGTAAAAATTGAGTTACATATACTGAATAACTGGTGATCCTAAAGTGCTCTTTACCCTGTCCTTTTTGGTTGTAGTTTAGCTTTGGTTTGGTTTTAGTTTTTGTTTAATGGAAACAAATAATTAAATTTCACTATAGCTTCAGCTTCACAGAAGCTTATTTGATTGGTTTAAGAAGTCAGTAAATATTTTCCAGGTTTTCAGAAGGCAATGGTAAAGACTATGAGTGCAGCCCTGAAGATACCCCACTTTGGTTATTGTGATGAGATTGATTTGACTCAGCTTGTTCAGTTGCGAGAAGAGCTGAAGCCTCTGGCTGAAATCCGTGGAATTAAGCTTTCCTTTATGCCTTTCTTCATAAAGGTATGTATGTATGTATGGGATATTTACACAGCTTTTGCCAAAATGTTTTCAATGATTGGTGTACGTTTGGAGCACCTCTCTATCATATGAATTATGACAGATCACAAGAAAAGTCTCAGCTTTTCTTGTTTATTGAACCATTTACCAATTTACAGTTGGAACTGCAGTGAGGCTTATATAATATCATTGAAAATTTTTGAAATATTAATGGGGAAGGATAGAGCGGCTTAAGTGTCATTCAGTATGGGGGTAAACATCACTAAGGGTTGGAATTGCACAGAACAAATTTTGGAAACTGTCAGTAATTTTTTTGAGTTCCTTTAAAATGAACCTCACATGAAATGCATCATTGTTGTTGTTGTTATTATTGTCACAGTATTTGTAGTGAATAATTTGAATTTAATAAATAATACCTTAGGTGCATCAGTCGGGGCCCCCTGGTGGTCTAGTGGTTAGGATGCGGCGCTCTCACCGCCGTGGCCCAGGTTCGATTCCCGGTCAGGGGACTTCCCTGGGCAGATGGAGCTCAGCCCTGTAAGGCCATCCATCTGAGAGAAGGTCACTCTAAACAAACCTACATCCTGAGGACCTCGCCGCCACTGTCCAAGCTTGCTTGGCCCCGGCAGATGAACCTCAGGATTAAAGGGTGGGCTCAGTTCAGCGCACAGTGGATCTCACCTAAAAAATCCACTGTGCAGGCTCAAAGGGTAATGACCTTTCCCAAATCTTCGTTCGCAAAGACTGGCCATGATGAGGTGCATCAGTAGGTCTCTTCTGTTGTTCAGAAGACCAGGCACTTGCACTCATTTAGCTGCTATGGTTCCATTTCCAACTGATGCACTCGCTGCCTAAACTGTGCATCGAAAGCACAGCTTACCTGAAACCTCTGGTAATGCTATTGCAGTGCTATGTGAGCACTCTTCCTGCTCACTGTCTTTAGGGGCAATTAATACTTCCTTGAAAAATTGTCATTTAAGCTGAGAACTGAGAATGACATTGCAGCTGAATCTCATAACTTTTGGGATATTTGATTTGAATTGTGGAACAAAAATAACAAATGCAGATTCAACTTCAGTTATAGTGGGGAAAGGAATTATCATTTTTTATATGTCTGTCTGATGTATATTTGGTTTTTGCAAGTGGTTTTTTTTTTTTTTTGCTATCCTAATAATGACAAAGTATCAACAGACATATTAAGGAGAGTTTAAGCCAAATTTGATTGCAGTGAGGGAATCCGTATTGTTATTAACCTAAATTATCTCCTACCATTACTTCCTTTCTATGGAGCTTTCTGATTATAAAATATAACAATCTATCTTTTTTTTTATTTCTTATATTTAACAGGCAGCCTCTCTGGGATTATTGCAGTATCCCATTCTTAATGCTTCCTTGGATGAAAACTGTCAAAATGTCACATATAAGGTTTGTAAATTACTGATAAAAGTTGTGAGCAGAAAACCTAAAGTAACAGCTAACAAGGGCTTTTCAGAATGTCTGAGTTAATTTTAAAAACCAAAACTGTGGTGTTGTGCTGGAAAATAATTTGTGTGTTCAGATTCTAAGATCTGGATTTGATTTATTATTGAACTTAGTAGTTTGTTAAACAAGAGTCACTTTGTTATTCAGACTTGCCTCAAAATTACATATTAATATAGTGATTTTCTATTTTTTACCTGAATATGGGCCAAGCATTTAAAATGAAAACACTTAAAAATCTAATACAACAATTTTTTAGTAATGGCACAGTGGTTCTATTGTTCCAACACTCGACCCTTATGTATTAAAGTTGTATTTTAAACTCAGTTTTGATAAAAATGATGTAATTTTCATACCAGCTGCTGGATTGATACTTTTAGGAATCTAGTGTCTATTTTCCTGAGTGATGTGTATGTGCCCCTTGCAGTACAAACTCCTTTTGTGCTGTTTGATCAATATCTCTCAGAATTCTTATATTCCTTCTGGCAAATGAAAGGCAACTGAGTTTCCTTTTTTTTAATTTTAGTGTTCTCTTTAAAATCTGCTATTTATGTGTTGTTAGACTTGCAATCATCCTGAAGTTCAGTGTTTTCAGTGTGAAATCAGTTCCTGGATTTTGTATTCCCTGGGTGTGAAATTGCCAGCAATTCGCAGGTGTGGAAAGCTAATATTTAAAAATTTACATCCTTTTCTGCCCTCAAAGTTGTATAAAGGAATTGTTTACTAAAGACAACCCTTTCTAGGTTGAAAAGATAAATGGGGAAGATGTGATTTAAGTGCCTTTTTATGTAAAATACATTTTATGTTGAGAGCTTATAATAACGTCCAGTTAATGAAACTTCTTTCAGGCTTCACACAACATTGGAGTTGCGATGGACACGGAGCAAGGTTTAATTGTCCCAAACGTGAAAAATGTCCAAGTGTGTAGCGTGTTTGACATTGCTTCTGAATTGAATCGCCTACAGTCCTTGGGCTCTGCAGGCCAGCTGGGAACAAGTGACCTCACTGGGGGAACATTCACACTTTCAAATATTGGCACAGTAAGTAAAGGAAGAAAGAGAACTACATCTGAAAACTGCTTCTGAAATGAAAACTTTACTGAAGTTTAATATACAATGAATAAAACCTGTAGCAATTAATTCAAGAGGCAATCTGCTCTAAAAAACCCCAAACTATTTGGTAAATAATATCCCCAGGTTTTTCTTTTGTAGATTGGTGGCACTTATGCCAAACCAGTGATACTACCTCCTGAAGTAGCTATTGGAGCACTTGGAAAGATACAGGTATGGTAACTTTGTCGCAGTGATATGAGTGTTTAGGTCGTCTGTAATGAAAGTGAAACTGGAGTCTCTGTTTTGTTTTTCTTTTATAAACATTTCTTTATATTAGAGAAATTGCATAGCTTGTGATTGCAAAGTTTTGTAGTGGTTTTAGATGACTGTACAGACACTAGATGTTTAACTAGAAGTTAAACACCAAGGGTTCAGATTTGTTTTCTAGAATCCTGTTATATTTCACTCGTGTGTTTAGCCTTCTAGTGGTCAGGAAACAACACAAATATATTTTTACAGGTTTTGCAACATGCTATAACATTGTTGCTATCATCAAGGAGAAAATTTGAGAAGTACTCTGATAATGAAGTATAATTTCATGAGCCAGTTAGCTGAATCCATACAGAAATTTGTGTGGTGAAGGCAGTTTTATATTTTCTGAATTTCAGCCCTTAATTCTTTCACATAGACATTTGAGACCAGTGCTGGAAATGAAATTAGTATTAACTTAAATTACTACTTCTAGGTTCTTCCCATGAGCATTTTGTTCAGGGGATGCTTTAAGGAAATCGTCACTTTGAGAACTAACAGTGCAATAAACTATTCAGGAAGAAACTTTTGAGTCAAGAGAGATTTTCAGTACTTCAGTATTTCCATGATGGTGGAAACAGGATATGACTGTTTATTATGTTGGCTTGCAATATACTCTAATCCACAGCACAAACAATAACGGGAAGGCCTTGGTTTTTTTGCAGGGTGTTACTGCTGTCTAATTTAGGAAAATGTTTAAATTTAGATCAACAAATTAATAACAAAAAAATAGAGATCTGGTAATGAAAGTATTTAGTATTTCAATTCTTTTCTTTCCTCTGATTTTTAGGTTGTTCCTCGGTTTAATGGGCAAGGTGAAGTATTTAAGGCACAGATAATGAATGTGAGCTGGTCAGCTGATCACCGCATCATTGATGGAGCGACCATGGCCCGGTTTTCTAACCTGTGGAAATCTTACGTGGAGAACCCTGCTTCGATGCTGCTGGACCTTAAATAAAGGAACCCATGGCTAGAACATGCCTTTAAACTTTGTGGTTTAGACTGAATAGTTATGAAAGCTGTCTCTGCTAACATGTGCCCTTGGCTACGTGCATTATATAATAATGTTATGTGGTTAAAAGTTCTCAACAGTTGATATCAGTCTATCAATTAGTCGTTACTTCTTTTAATTATTAGTGCTGTAATTTTTTCTACAGCAGACTGTCAAACTGAATAGGTCAAGGCTTCTGAATATGGTGGTGGAATGTCTTTATTGTGCCTTTTATAATAATTGTCAGGCTGGTGGGACTGAGTGACGCTGCTCTACACCTGCAGTATTTATAATCTGATTAACCTGTCTTAAAGGGGAATACTCCTAGTTCTTCCATGTTGGACACGTAAATTTATTTTAACCAATAATATCCAGATTCCCAAAAGGAGTTATGCAAAAATCATATACAAATAAAATGTCTTTAATATTTCTGCTGTAAGAGGGCTTTTTCTTGTTTACCTTAGTAAACCTCCTAAGTCTTTTGCTAGTTCACATTTTCCTGGCAATTACTTGCACAGGTATTCTTTATCAAATTATAAATGAAGAGGCCATATTTATTCAAATGCTTACTGATAACAATAATTCATAACTATCAGGACCTTAATACTCTCTAGAATATCCTGTATTTTTATAAGCTGAAAGTAGTTTCAGTCCCTAATGCTTTCCAGTTATTTTTGTTTCTTATAGAAAGCATCTGTCCGTTAAAACCAAGTGAGAAAGAAAGAAAGAGAAAACAAATTAAAAAAGAAGGATCTTGTTTTGTTATTCTTACATTAGGTAAGACTGACAGTAAGCTGAACGTGTTCCAAAAGCTTGCACTGTGTTATTGATCTTCAGGTACTATCATTTACCAGATTAATCAGATTCAACAAAGAGTGGACATTAAAAAATATTATGTAAGATAAGGCTTTCCTAAACTCAGATACGAGGCACATAATGAATAGGTTTGAGTTAACGGCTTCAAAACAGAAAACAGTTACATGGCTTTAAGGTGAACTAACAGATGAGGATTGTGCTGGTGATTTAATGGGAGATAGGAAGAAAACCATTGGATATAAATACCTTCTAGAAACCTAAGCTGCAAACAGACACAAGAAAAGAGAGTTATATAGCCTTAAAAATGAATCTGACGCACAAAATGGACATTTTCTCCTTTCTTTAGATATATCAAACCCAGGAGCATTCTCCAGAAGTGTAGACCAAAGTTGTCTATTGCATTTAGCTGTGAAAATGTGAGACAGGCTATCAGAGGTAGAATCCCTGCTATCCTTGATGCTGGGAGTGAGCAAGAGGAAAGCTGGTAATGTAGGAGGGGGAGCATGGAGCATCCATGTAAGGTGCTATTTATATTTCTATTGTGGTATAAGGGTCTTTTATATAAAGGTCATTTCTTGCAAAGTTTGACTAATATATCATGCTTATCACCTAATTCATTTTTATCAGATTTATTTATTCCTAATAAAAAAATAAAGCCACAAAAATTGTAATATTGTTTTTATTTGTGAATTTCACGCAGGCAATGCTGTACAGGTGATTCAAACTATTTCTTCTGATCTTGGAACATATGGTACTCAAGGCTACTAAAAGAGCACAGCCTAATGGCTGCTTTCCTGCAAGCATATTGTTGTGGTAAGGGACTCAGTCTGAATAGTATATTTTTTAACCTGATGACCACTGAGAAAATAAACACAGGAAACATAAGTAGATGAAAGAAAGCAATAAAGTGATTTTGAAATATTTAAGATAGAATAATTTTACTTGCACAAGGAGCCTGAAATTTGTCTCTCAAGACTCCAATAAATGGGAGAGCTGTTGAGTTTTTTTACCCTAATTATCTGTCTTTAGGGAGGAGCAAATGAGGTTAGGTTTTTAGTTATGATTGGCTTTGATCAAGAGATTGAATCTATACCAAAACTGAAAGAAGAAATACCTATAACAAAGAAACTTTTGGATCATTTTTGCTTTTGCATAATGTTTGTTTGGGTTTTTTTTAAAGTATAGAAGATTGAAAGACTTGAAAGCTAAAGTACTTAATGTCTTTTAAATAGGTATTGGTGTTCCAGTATTTAGTTGGTTGTAGACTGAAGAGGGTGGGTTTGATTTTTTTAATTGTAAAGTTCTGTATGGTAGGTTTATAACCAAACTCACAATATTTTAAAATTTCATCTTTGCATTTTATACTCCAGTGTACTTGGTTAGAATTATCCAGTTTTATGGCTTCTGCCTCAAACAGTTATCTCTCTCTTTCCATTTGACTGAAGAAACAGATTCTGACAGATTCTCCTTTTATCTTCTCTAAGGACTATTTGAAGAAATAGAATGTTAAAAATGTTTCATGGTTGGAAGCATGAAAAGGGGTGAGTAACAACCCCTCTGTACCTCTTGATAAAGATTAGTTTTCTGTCTGGGCTTTGCTAATTGGCACTAAAATTCTTCAACAAAAGAATTTTTCAGCATGGACAGAAGTAATGAGTAAAATACTTAGTGATGTAATACTTTTTCTAGTCTATTCAGTCTGTGTTGCTGTTTATTAGCACTTTGAAGCTCAGTTATATTGCAGAGAAACATTACTAGAGTAAGCAAGTAGTTGTCATTTTCAATTCAAAACTAGCCTTTTTTATCTGTTATTTTTAATTCAATATGAGCTCATTGTAGAGCATAACAATTACTCCTTTGTTCTTCTTTTTCACAATTTGTAACTTTTTTAAGCGAGAGTTCAGGGGAGCCCCGTCATGCTCAGCAAACTGGGGAGACTTTACAGTGGTAAATGCTTGGGGGAGGTTGCAGAAGTGCCTCATGTGATGCCTTCTATTCTCAGCATAGGTTAAAATTAGAACTAGACTGACATTGCATTGGAGTCTGAGAGTTCTAAATGGTTTTGGTAATACAGACAGGATTTGTAATTTGTCTCTGCTCTTGTCCAGAAAGCAATGAGTCACAGAAAATCCTTGAAACCACCAAATAATTGAGGTAAGTTGTTGTTAAATTCTTTCTGATGCCTGAAGATGAAGTTGTAGGGAGATCTGGTTACTTGGGAGTAAATTTGCAGTTGTTTTAGAGCTGCAGTTGGGAATTCACTCCTGAATTGTTGGCTGTGATGGCATGAGTATTATGGGGTTTATTTTCTTGACAAATAATAAGATCTAAGAACAAGAAGCTTTTGATGGTAGTCCTGTTATATGATAAAATCATCCTGAAAATAAAGTCATATATTTAGTCCCTTTCATATTTCATGGTTCTGAAGGAGCACTTATTGAATAATATGCTTTCCACAGCAAAAGGGAGTTGCCCAGAGTAAGATTTACTAAAAACAAGTATTATTTTGACTGTAAAGTATGATACTGGGTTACAAGTACAACTATTAACAAATATCCCTTTTCTGCACAGTTTATATAAAAGGATTTCTAATTTTCCAAAAAGGCTTGTAGTTAAAAAAAAAAAATCTCCAAAGAAGAAATTATAAATTAGTTCAATCACTTGATCTCAGTAGAAATTTAATCCTGAAAAAATCAGGCAATTTAAATTGTAACCACTAACTAGAGCAAAAGACCTCATGCATATACAGCATTACTATTGCATATTGGGATGAGGACTGGGAAGGGTAGTTACTCTGAGGACTACTGAAAGAGAAACTAGTTAGTCCTTCAAACTAGCAAATGTGCTTACAATTATGTGGGGGAGGGAAAGAGAATACAGTCCTCTCTTTACAGGAAAAAATTCCATCCTTTTGGAACCCAAATGCCACTGCACTGTGCCACACTGTGGTTACCATTTGTGTCACTTGTCAAATCCTGACATTTTTCCTTAACAAACAGAGAACAGTTAAGAATCCTAAATATTACTGTATCAGACCAGCTTCTTATTTATTCAGGCATTATAATTTGATTTTTATGTTGTCTTTACAACAGGAAGCAATCCTAATATTTTACATTTTATTTGTCTACACATTTTTAATTAAATTATTTCAGTATAATAATGCTTTACAAGTAAGTATGTTAACAAAAGACATAGTAAGCAAATAGAACGATTGACAGTTTGAACACAAAAATGTTCACTAAGCAATTGTAGCTTGTCCAGGCAACACAAAATTATAATGGAATAAATATAATAGAAAAGGTTGGTTCTAAAAGACAAACCCTTTCCCCAAATGACTGCAGTAATGGTAATATGAATGATTTTCAGAGTGGTGCACTGATTAGGATGGCTGAATATCCTACTTCGCTGCTTTTCAGGAAAATATATCTTAATTATCTCACTAAGGGATAGATGACTTCAAAACTTTAGACTGAATTTAATTTTAAATGTGGATCCTGACACTCAGCAGGGCTACAAGAAGATTCAAACACAAATCAGAAAAAATTAAAAGCCTTTTCTTAAAGGTAATGCATTACTAACTATAAAATGCATTATAATGAGTTAAACCATGAAGAAAATGAATGCAAATAAAGTTTACTCATTTATTTCCAGGAACAGTTCAGTTTTTCTAAAGTGCAAAACTCCTTAAGTCACAAGTACTTATATCAGGTAGCTGCCAGGATGCAGGTATCAGAATTTAACTGCCTTACATTGCAGGTAACAGCTTAATTTCTTCCTGAGATGGGAATAAATGCTCAAATCTGCATTTAATAATTATGGTGAGTACTTAGCCTACCATTGGAAGGAACTGAGAGAAGCCGAATAAGAATACAGAGACTTCAAGAATACCATTTCTTAATACAAGACAGTTTCACTAGGTGCTATTGTCTATTTTTATAAAGAGAAAGCAGATGGTAAAATCCTGTTTGTTCTATACATTAACTGCGTGTAATAATACAATGAAATGGATATTGCAGGGTTTTAGCTCTCATGTCACTGTCCCCAGCTGGTAACTGATACATGGGCTGATGTGTTCCATCAGATTCCTGGGACTGCATTTGAACATGTAAAGGATCATGGCTGAAACTGCAGTTTGCCTTGGCACATTCACTGCTGTGAAGACACTTTGGGAAGTGAGAATACACAAGATAAATGAAGAATTACAGAAAGAAAAGGAATTCAGGCAGAGGTCTGCAGGAAGGTAAATTGTAGATCTTTAATTATGTGGAAAGCTAGACCATATGTTGCATTTCAGAAGACTGTAATTAATCTTTTCAAACTCATCCAGACTCTAATTCTTTAGTTGTTACTCCAGCAGAATTCCCAGTGGTTAGAATCTAGCAATATGGTCAGGTCAAACCACGAATTGTGTCTGTGATAAAAATATTAGTATATAGACTAAATCCCTTAAATTCAGATACTAAAATAACTGTGTGGATACTCTAACCTGTGGAAATTTGGTTTTTTCTCCATAGAGGCATTAATAGGGTCACTTAGTTTTCTGTCTGGACAGCAATTTAAATTTGAAGAAATTTAGCATTCTATTTTTAGACCTCTTCCTGATTTATCAGATGTGTCTGAAATGGAATGGCAAATCCAAAAGCTACTAATGGAAAATACAAGCAGAAAGAAAGAGAATTAGCCTAATTGTCATAGTTCTTGTTGAAGTCCTCTTTGGAAATCAAGCTAAAAGAATCTCTTGCTGATTGACCTTGTTTTGTTGAACTTACATTTGGTGTAATGGAAGGTTTTCTTTTTAGGAGACTGCCTCAAAATTAAGGCTTTGGAACTTAGTTCCGCACGGCTTTATATTCTGTTGCCCTGCTGCAACATGTTGAAAGTTAATTAAGTAATGTCCTCCTTCTGAATGTAAATTTGAAGAACTGTAAAATAGAACTCCTATATATAGAATTACCTCATTAATTACTACATTAATTGTTTGTCTTCCCTCAATTTGATAGTATTTTTAGTATCCAGATATAATTAACATTGTTTGACATCCAAAAAGGCTACTGTGTCTTTTTTTCCAGAAAATAGATAGGATAGTAATTATTGTCTGTATTCACTGTTGCCCCACTGACAGATCTTTCCCTTGTAGGCTACTGCTTGTCTGGGAGGAAAGAGCTGCTTTGGCAAAGCTCAAAGAAAGAGTTATTAATGAAGATGGAAGAGCAATTTTAAGGATAGAGGAAGAAGAATGGAAGGTAGTGTTGATAGGAATGCATGTTGAATGATTGATGCATTAGAAAACTACTATTTACAACTTTACACTTATACAGTTGTACTGGTTTTGTTAAGTACTCACTGTGTGCTTTGCTAACAGTGAGTTGGGACATGTTGTTGTGAGTGTAAAAGCAAGCTGGGTTTTTTTTAGTCATGAATATTAAGCATTACTCTTAGGCAAAAATATAGCCTAAAAGGCTTTTCTGCATCAGAAATTATTTACATTCCGAATTATGAGTTTCATGACATAAATCCTCATTTAACATTAACACACCAGAACTACTGAAATGTATCAAGGTGAAAACTCTGTTGTTTAGGTGCATGACAATATTTCTTACCTTTGTTTACTTTCTAAGAGCAGAAATAAGGCAGTAGGTTCCCAGAACACTATTATTGTGGTTTCTGATGCGTGGGGGGTAAGCCACTAACGGCTTATAATGTCAGAGTGGAAGTTCACAGCCCTCTGAGCTGTGAGATGCAGAGAGATGCAGATACCAGTTGCTATGAAGTGATGAGAATTAGGCCATGTTGGGGCCAGTGGGAGAGCCAGACCCAGCAATGCTCTGGTGGTCCATAGGCCGGTGTTCCTTGTTTGGAACTCTTTGCATACATTGTAGTTTTTCTATCCCCCAGCTCTACTACTCTCAGCTGCTCACTGTTTTTCTTAAGAGACTATGAAACAGAATTTAAATCTCCCTTTATGTGCAGAAATCTATTTAGAGCAGTTTCATCATCAGTCATGTTGACTTTGTTTAAAAAAAAAGAAACAAACCAACCAAAGCAAGTCTCAAACTTGTCAATCAATGACAGTAGTGCAGGTATGTAAATACTGGGAGCAAAAAGGGGGCAGGCTAAATCTGTGATCACAATGACAGCCCACAGTGGGTTCACTTTGGGATCATGGAATCATGGAATATCCTGAGTTGGAAGGGACCCACGAGGATCATAGGTTCCAACTCCTGGCCCTGCACAGGACAGCCCAAGAATCCCACCATGTGTTGTCCAAACACCTCTTGAACTCTGTCAGGCTTGGTGCTGTGACCTGGAGAGCCTGTTCCAGTGCCCAGCCGCTCTCTGAAGGAAGAACCTTTTCCTAACATATTGATATAAAACCTTATAAAATATAAACCTTTTCCTAATATATATGATATTGAAATAGTATCAGTTATGCGTGCTACTTTTAGCATGTTTTAGAAATCAATTACCAGGATTCATTTTGTAACCTACATGTTACAGTATAGCTTAAGAAGAACGAAAGTTAGTGTTCAAATAAAATTTCTACCTCAGCCTGTATTCTTCTTGTATACTAAGCTGAATTTCTTCTGGTTCATATTTCTTGTCTTAGACACTACCTTCGTGCTTATTGAAACTAGTCCATCTCCAGGAATGGCAGCTTCATAGAACTAGTCTGCAGAAAATTCCTCAATTTATTGGAAGATTTCAGAGTCTTGTTGTTCTGGATCTATCCCGGAACTCAATTGAAAGTGTACCTAAGGAAATTGGTGAGCTGTGCTTTCTTTTAAGCTACTTTTCTAAGAAAATTGCACAAATGTGCCATTTTTGTGCCCTTTCCCTGTCTAAAAATCCAATTGGGTAGTTAGAAAACAGATTATTTAAATCTGACAGTGAGACAGAAATCTCCAAACCACAGATTGCCCACAAATTAAAAAATGACTGGATGGAAGACACATATCTTTATGAAAGCTCCCCATGGAAAAAAAAGCCTGCAAGCACAGCAGGGACTAGACATCAGAATGCAGCTAGAAAAGTGATATTGAAAAACAGACTTCATGTTCTGAATGCACAGCATGAGCAGTCTATTAATAATTTTTCAGTTTTGGGGTTTTAGAATGCAGCTCTGTACTAAAGAGTCCTGAAGTCCTACTATTTGCATTTCAGTGATTTTTTTAAATTTTTTATTTTAAATTTGTGAAAACACAGAGCATTTCTATAATGGGTAAAGGATAAGACAAAACAGGTAATATTGTACTTCAAATAGAATGAACACGAGCATTTCTCATGTCTCATTTGTGCTCTCTGCAGGCCAGCTGACCAGCCTCCAAGAGCTGCTTCTCAGTTACAATAGAATAAAGTCTGTTCCAAAGGAAATAAGTAACTGCATCAGTCTGGAAAGATTGGAACTGGCTGTCAACAGGAATATCTGTGATCTTCCTCCTCAGGTTTTGACACTGTTTTGTTTAATGTATATTTTTTGAATTTATCCAAACCCAATTATCATTAAAGGATGCACTCCATGTTTTCAGATTCGCTGTGATACTCTGATTTCACAACTGATCCACAGAAACGCTGATGTGAACAGCCTTTCTATGACTAGTCAACCTGAAGCCATGTGAGAAAAACCTACTTATACCTGAGTAGCTGAAGGAGCCAATCTTTATTTTGTCCAGATAAATGGCTTGGCAGTGCATACAGGGCAGTGATACACTTCACGTCAATTTGTCTAGGCTGAATGTCTTCACTGGTTTACCCCACTGAGAATCTGATGCCTTAGCAGAGAGAAGTTCTCTTTTATGGTTGAGAGTAGAAATTCATACCACATGCCAGGACACAACTGTAAGCATCTTGACCAGAACAACTAGCTCTCAAAAGGGTTTGTGTGATTTATACAACTGCCTATGCATGCAGTTGAACGATTGTTGTTCTCAAATATTGAAAACAATTATCAGGGAATAAAAACAACTGCTCACCTACTACTGAGCTTTAATTTGAACTGACCTACATGTGAGAGAGACCTGCATCTCTAACTATTAGTCTCTTAGACAGAGATGACAAGTATGCAACCATATATACTTTTTAAAATTTATTTAAAAACATAGTAGTGACAATAGTTGTCAGCAATCAGTGCCTTGCAAAATTGAGTGAATCCAGACAGTGATACCCAATATCAAATCTTCAAATGGAAATATACACTATTAACCAAAATCCAGGATTTACAAAATTTACATGGATACAGGTTACATGGTGTAATGTAGAGTGATGGCTTTTAAATTAACAGCTCATAGCAAATGCATAGTTCTGTCCTGTCGAGACTACAGTGATGTGAACACTGTGAAGCTTTGGTTGTATGTACTTGAGTGGCATTCAATGTTTAGACAGTTGGACCAGATTTGCCATAAATTATCTTTGTATCACTTGAACATTGTAAAAGCACCTGAAGGCACGATTCACCAAAGGAGTTAGGTGCTGCAATACTGAATGATGCTATGTTGCATTTTTAGAATGTTAGTAGACTTCACAGCATGGAAGGTGTCAAGGTCCACTCTAAAATACAGTACATGCAATTTGATGCATAAAAATCTAAATATTTGACTAATGAAAAATGTCGTATTTCATGGAGTCTGACATACTAAGGACAGTGCTGTCTTTAAAATTCTCTTTCTCCATGAGGCTTAATGCATATATGCATTGTAGTCATGGCTTTCAGCCTCTCAGCACTTACGGCACTTGCTACCAGGGGAGGTAAAGTTCTTCTGCCTGACCAGTTTCAAACCTACCTACCTTCCAGGTGAGAACTGTAACTGTTAGACAATACCAGCTAATGTAACTCAGAAACCATTCTGTGTTAACTAGCTCCAAAATATGTTGTAATGTTTGTTAACATTTTTAGAGCACTGCTGTAATGCTGCAACAGCTACACAAACTTGCATTAAATCTCCACTTCTTTTCAGCTCAGTGATTTAAAGAAGCTTTCACACATAGATTTGTGCATGAATCAGTTTACTACCATCCCTTCAGCTCTCCTCAACATGCCACATCTAGAATGGTTAGATATGGGGGGAAATAAACTCCAGGAGCTTCCTGATGCAATTGACAGGTAAATAAAACTCAAAGCTCATCTTAGTCTCAATTCCATTGCACTGAAATTCTAATTATTAAATGTTACTTCAAAAGATAATTTTTATGTTAACTTCACAGCAAATTTAAGATTTTGTCAGCCCTAAAGTGATGGTTTGGGTGAGCTGGAATAATCCATTCAATTAACAATATAAGGTTAAATATTTATTGCCAATGACATTTTCAAACAGAGACTAGGTGATTATCTTGGATAGAGGGTTTCCTTAGAGACTTGTTGCATTCTTCAGCCTTTATGTGGCTGAAGAATTATTTATTTTATCGTAATTATTGATAAGATTAATTTTCTATATCTTGATTGAGTGCACAAATACCTGTTTTTCAGAATGGAAAATCTCCACACTTTATGGCTCCAAAGGAATGAGATAAACTCTTTGCCAGAAACCATTTGTAATATGAAAAATCTTAGTACTCTTGTTCTTAGCAACAACAAGCTTAAGGATATTCCAGCTTGTATGAAGGATATGACAAATCTGAGGTAAGAAAAAGCAACAGAAATATAAATAGAAATACTAGAAGATAAGTTTTAAAGCCTTCTTTGAGTTGTATATCATAGAATGATACTAAGGAAGAGGAAAAGGCATGATCACAGTTGTACAGATGGACACAATACCATATAAATCAGCATAATTGCACAGATTCACAACAGTTGAGGATCTGGTAAAGCAACCTTTGTGTAGTGAAACTCACTTAAAGAAGTGAATGATGATAGTTACAGTCCCAAATGAAAAAGCAGGGACATTTTCTCATTTCCAAAATGTCCTCACGCCCCCCCATAACTGGCCTTTTATATCACTCTCTAAAGCCAAAAGCCTGCAGAAAAATATGTGACAGGCATAAAAATGGCAAAAAGTAGAACTTTGCCACTGAGAAATCAAACATTCAGAATTAAACAAAAATGATTAGGTATGAGGACATGGACAAAAGGATATGAAAAATAAAAAATAATGGAAATTCTTAAGTGAATATGCAATACTACTTTGTATACCATGACAGAAACTTTCCTGTTGTTTGCATTTTCATTTGGATTCCTGGATGCTGGCCATTTTAGAGAAAGAATGCTAGTCCACATAAATCATGTCTAACCCAGTAAGACAATTACTGTTTCCAGCTGTTTTGGAAGCACCTCTTAAACCAAATATATGCAAGCATAGGTGCAGGGATGGACCAAGGACAAAGAGAGACAGGACTGGCTACTGCCTTGCAAAGCTGGGAGGAGGCATTTGCACTGTTGTTCTCATCACTCCTGTTTGTGGAAGCTCAATGCTCCTGACCATGGAGTGAAAACCTGAACACAAAGTGACAAGGACTGCAGTGTTTTTTCCCACCACAATCAGCTAGAGTTATTATAAAGAGTCTTCTTAGTTTACTTAATACTATTGATAGAGGGGTGAGTTTAGTATAATAAAAGCCTTATTTAATTTTGCTCAAAACAGTGATTGACAAATCTTAATTCAGTTTCAAAAGAATTGTTTTCTCTGGACAAAACTTATTGCAAGCATAACCTTTTTTGGTGAATTATCAGATTTGTCAACTTCAGAGACAACCCACTGGAGCTAGAGGTAACCCTCCCTCCGTGTGAGGATACAGAGGAGGAGGAGCAGCAGGAAATGTTCGGCATTGACTTCATGCACATGTATATCCAAGAGTCCCTCAAGAAAACAGGTATGACTTTTTATTAATTCTGATCTCTCTGGAATACAGTGAGAAAGGGAAGAACAAACTGGATAAATAAAATCTAGGATACATATACAAATGAAACATGAATAGTCTTCTTAATAAATGAATAACATTTTCCAAAAAATCTGTAAAACAATTTTTACTGAGGGCAGGGGGTGCTTTTATCAGGAGTTGACACAGCAGGTCTTCACACAAACAGCATATATTCTGGTAGGAACATAGGAATAAAAGTGCCTGAGTTACCTAGAGCTGGGATAAGTAGAAGCTGTCTTTTGTATTTGTAATTTAATCAGTTTACATACTTTGGGTCTTACAGCACCATTTATCTCAAGAAGTTCAACTTTTCCTATTTCTGGATGTTGTCCAGATGGTACTACCAAAGAAGGAATAAGGGAGAGATGCTTATGTTCCCAACATACATCTTCTAGCAATGAAGTATCAACACCTGATAAACAGATGTTTCTCACAACTTAATTTCCCTGACACGAAGTCAGTCACCTAAACAAAACAGCCCCACAGTTTATTCTCATTTCTAAAACACTATGACAAAAATTTGCTGTTTGTAGCCTCAAAGGTAACAGTTTAAATGTTGCAGTAAGAAGCCAAACTAAACACTTCTGAACAGATGTGCAGGTGGCAGCTGTTTCTTGCAGAGAGCACTTCATTGCAGATATAAAATGTTCTCTCTGATCTTCATTCTGTGTTTTGTGAAGGCTTAAAAAATGAATGAAATGCTCTTGATTTAGAACACTAGGCCAGCTTTTTTCTTATCAATATTTCATGAATGAATAATCAAATTAGCAAAAATACAGTTATCAAGAATACAGTTTACAAGTTAGTTTTCTTCCTTGATAGATTCCCCTGGCAGCATAGGCTGATGAAAGAACCTTGGCCTACTTAAATAATTTAAGAGGAAATACAAAGCTATCCTGAACTTCAAAGTGAAAATAAAGTATGTTATTTCCTCTCTTATTTTCACTTGTTGTCTTTCAGGAAATCTGGAAAGTTGTACTTCTGATCCTCCTCCGATCATAAATCCTAATGAATAAAGAATGTAACTGAGAATGGAAGACAATACCAAGTATACTTCTTCCCAGCAAAGAGGCCTACAACAGGTGTCAAATATTCTTAGGGATTTTATTTTTCCACTGATGAGAACTGGTTTGCATATGTGTAATTCCCAGTGACACTGGGAAATATAAGACCTTTTCCTGGGTACAGGAAAGACTAAAACATTTTTTTTTGTAAACACTGAATTAGCTTTTTAAAAAAATCCAGATAAGTTTTTTAGGTTTTTTTTTCCCCTAACAATTCCAAATTATCTCCTGTCATGTAGTTGGCTCTGTTATCAAAAATGGACTTGGGACAGCTGTCAACAGGACATTCTCCAAGGATACAGCAGACTCTGTGTAATACTGTAGTGCAGCCTTGTATCCTTGTTGTTGTAAATATTCAATCCGTCCGTGATCAATCAGCCGTTTACAGAGGCAACCTATCTCCTTTCGTTCTTCAACAGTAAGTATCCTAGTGAATAAAAGGGAGGAAAAGAATGAACAACATCTGTCAGAGGAATAGTTTGGTTAGTTAACATTAGTAGTTAAACTCAGAGAAACTACTGAAATCACTGTAAGTTCATTTCAGTCAGGCAACTGTGACTCTTGATATATTTTGAAATGTACATCCATAAAACCTGTATTTTTAAAGTAAAGTATTTCTGTAAGTTCAGTAATAAGTTTATTTCTGCAAAATGAGTTCTTTTAAGGACCCAAAACAATTTAATGTGCCACTATACGTAATTTTGCTTTTCTGCTGGAGTCCATTTGCTAGGAAAAAAAAATCACATACCCTTGCCATGTATCAGAACCACTCTCTGCCGTGCTGAATGTTTGCTCATGTTCTTCTGTGTCATTAGTTTGGTCTTCACTTTCTTCACTTGTAGAGGCTTTGCTTGTGGTTTCTCGCATGCCACAAGTGGCCCAACTACTCATTCTCTGGAAATAATGGAATTCTACTGCTCCCAGTCCAACTGATTTAAAGAACTCTCTGCCTACATAATGTGTCCAGTCACACTTGTGATGGCAACACAGAGCAATGACAATTCCAGCTACAGGCTTATGGTCTTCTGTGTTGCTGCCATTACCAGCAGCAGTGTCAGGAGCCACCTCTGTCGTAGCAGTCCTACAGCGTTTTGCCGCAGGCTCTTCATTTTCTCCACCACAGCAAGTTGAGTAACTTTCAACCAAGCATCTCAGAGCCAGATCTGGGAATGAACAGATACATCACCAAAAAAATATCCATAAACACCATGCCATTATTTATACAGGCTCTATCATGATTGGGAATGTACTTTCCATAAAGAAAAATAAAATCATACATCACAAACTAAGCCAAAACACAATTTTAATGATAAAAAAATTACAAGCATGCTTTGAAAACATGAAAACCCTAAATGCCAAATTAATATTATGAGACCTCCAGAGCTCTTCAGGGCTTATCCTCTGGAATATTTGTTCTATGGAAGTGAATTTCAAACACTTGGGTAATAAATTGGCATATTGTAGGAGAATCTCCTCCCTGTAAAACATGCAACTATTTGCTCCAGAAATTTGATATCTAGGACACAATCTATTTAATATGCACATGTGCTTCTTAAATGCTTAACTGTGTCATCTTTGTCACAATGCCTAGAAAGGTGTCATATTTGAGATAACTTTAAGTAGTAAGCATATGATGTTAGAAAAATATTAGTTTAAAATTATCAGGACAGAAACACATTCTTATTTGTTTGCTTGGGATACATATTCAAACAGCCAACACAAATTTAAAAGAAAAATATTTCAAAGAGGCAACTGTGCTAAAAAAAGTACTTTCACCAAATTACAAATGACCCATGCCACCACACAGCATTCTTTGTTCTAATCTATAGAGCCCAAGAAAGGCTTTACTTCTGCCTAAACTATCCTTGCACCTATTATCCTTTTACTATTCCACTGGAGTCAATAGGTAATTAGAATATAACTGCTATATTCACCAACAAAGGGTTAGAGGGCAAGAAGAGCTTAAAAGGATAGTCTGGAAGATCAGTCCATTCAGAGTGTAAGATTTAGTATCCTAACTTTCTGCAGTTCACACATGTATAATTCATACCTGTTGCAGCACCACACAAATGCTTCCCAATTCCTACCACCGGTAGTTTCTTCTTCTCCAAAATAGGTACCTTACCTGGAGAGGGAAAAAAACCAAACAACCAACAAACCCCTCATCCAATCCACAATAACCCTAGCACCTATATATTATTATAGTTGGGGCAACATTTTTTCTGAATAAAATAATTTCTGCACACTTAGAAATAAATGTTTACCACTACTAAAACTACAGTGGTTTGGTCAAAGGAAAGTTTCTTTTACTAAAACAAATTAAAAGAATAGGATGCTGTAGCTGGGAAGCACATTTAACCATTTCAGCCTTTCTATACTGCCTATGAAAGGTAAATATGACATTAATGCATCTCCTGATGAGAGGTGTTCCCACAAATTCTGTAGCATTGATGGTGCATACTTGTACCTAAACCAAACAATGCAAAGATGTTTAATCCTGCAAGTTCTAAAAAACCTTCAAAATCCACTTGTTTTGGTATTTCTCACCTGTAATGATGTCCTGCAAGTGTATAGAGTAGAAAACTTTAAATCTCCATTTAAAATGTGTGTATATATACACATGCCTGTGTGTATATATGTGTATACACATAGCATTAACATATCCAAGCAACCACTGAGAATAATCTTCAAAACCAAGACCATTTAAGCATTCTACATACAAACTGACTTGAACCCCAGTATTCAAAATTTAAGAATAAGCCTCTATTTCAGAGTGACACAAGCCAAGAAGGAACTTACTTAAACATAAGTGCTGAATATCAACTTGAAGCCTCTCAAATATAGAATCTCTTCTTTTATGTTTTCCATCCACCTGTTTAAACAGAACAAGATTATTAAGTAGGGCTGGCCACTAATAATTATAATGTTGCTCCGGGTATTAATGCCAGACCTTTTCCCTGTCAAGTCAACATCTGTGAATTTCCAACATTAAACACCAGGATTTTTTTTATAATAAATTTGCTATTGGCGAAGTACGGAATGTAGAACTTTTGAAATTTAAATTTATTGAAGTTAAAAATCTAATACTAACAGCTTCAATGGCAAGAGTTTAAAAATCACACACTGCTAATGTGACAATCCTCTTACCTTGAATCTTGTGGTTGCTCTTTCCACAAGCAAAAACTGCACATTTTCAACATTCTGTAAGGCAACATCAACCCAATGAGACAGCTTTCCTCGCCCAGCTCCAAACTCAACAAAACATCTTCCTGGACCAAGTAAATGCAATCTTTCCATGTTACCTAAAATAGAAGCCTACAAACATCAAAAGATTATTTGTGAACCAAGCAAATATATACACAGTGTGATGCCTTATAGAAAAATGATTACGTCACCAAACTGCAGATGACTTTTTCAAGCCTCCCCTTCAGTGAGGGATTAAGGAAAAGATGTTGTTTGTACAGAGGGATTATACATTCTGACTAGTCAGCAGTACCCTGCCCTTCTTCCCCTGCTCACAGAACTCCACTCAGAACTCTGTGGAATGGATACTGGGGTTCCTGTACACATTATAATATTCTTCTCGCTGATCTTCAAAGTAGCCATCCAAAATATGGGTACTGTACTGCATTTTCTGTAAAGCATCAGTGCCCGCAGAGCTCTCTCTCTCTCCTGCAGCTATGTGTTTTGTAATACACAGGAAAGGAAAGTAGAGCACAGGAAACACACATTTCTCACTGTTAAATTTTTCTTCCCAAACCTTTCCATTTTACTACACTATACAATCCATCTCCCTTAAAATTTCTGCTGTTTAATACACATTAAAAAGGCAGAAGGTTAATTCAGGCTCTCCAATTCTTTTTGTGCATCTCTTACACAAACAGGAGACCCAGGACCAGCTCTTACAGCAAAAGTAAAAGATTCCTTCTTAGCAAATATTTTACTTTTTGTAGCTCAGTTTTATTACAAGTTAATAAAAAATATGAATATTTAAGTAATAATTCAGACCACCACACAATTTAAAGTTTATTTCAGTAAATAAGCTTCTGTTATTCACACGTAAGAAAGCAGCCATTCACAGGCTGTATATATGCTATTATTTGAAGAGCACAAAGTTGTAAAGCATATCAGATTTCCTCTATAGGAAGCTACTAGCATTATACACACAGAGTTGCTCAAATTTACAGCAGCACAATTTCACTCCAAACCCATCTATAGCTATTAGTAAATCAGTGACCACACCTGTTGTTTCAAGTGTTTGAAAGCAGATTCCCCATTCTTTGGGTCATTTAAGGCTTCTTGTAAAGCCTGGTGGGACAGTATTTCTTCCTTAAGATGAAGTTCCAGGCCTGCATCGAAATGCAAAACTTTTAGGCATCGCTTTCCAGTTTCCAAGAGTTCCAGTTTCCAAGAGTTTCTGTTACATGTTACAATAGTGACATGAGCTCAATCTGTAGCACTAGCAAACAGTCTGTTAGGAACATAAATCTCTCATCATATGTTTATAATTGTTATCTGTAGTAATATTTGAGAGGGAAACAAAAACTGAAGGGAACAAAGGATAGGTGTTTTATCATTCTCTCAGTCTAGTTTATTTTTCATAGTAACATTTAGCTGTTGGAGTCTATCTGATAATTACTTCATATGTGTTTAATACCACGTTGCATATTTTTACAGATATCTAACAATGGAAATAACAATGAAAAACTTAATAAATTCAATTTAAAACATTATATCTAGTATTAAGTAAGCTCACCATTACTTGCTTTTTTCAACTTGACAATTAAGTTCTGCAGCTCTTCACTGGATAGAGAAGATAAAGTGACCTTTTTAAGGAAAAAAAAGCCACCTATAAATATAAGACCTTTTAAGTTTTCTAGTGCTTTATACTCATATGATAAATTGCAACATGTTATGTAAGGACTGAACTTAAAAACAAATAATTATACTCACTTGCTTTTCTGGTATTTCTGCTACATCTTTTAAACCTGCATTAATATCTTGAACAAAGTAGACCTTTAAAAAATCAAAGAAAAATCTGATTCTGTTAATTACCAGGAAGCAAATTACTACATTCTTCAGCATTTTTATCATAAGATATGTAGCAATAGGTGTCCACAGCAAAATAAGATTTTCCACGTAATTTCTCTTCCTATAGTCTGATCCTGAATCCCTGGCACAAATGAGTGTTCTGACACGTTTTTACAAGATTGAACATGTTCGCAAGATTTAAGCAGTCAGTGCTTACTGGACTGATTGCAGAGACCATTTGTTATTGTTTCTCAGGTAATAGTGACAGTGCAATACTAATAAGGCAGAAAGGCAATAAAGAAGCTATCTTTTCTGGGAACAGCTTTTAAACACATATTCTGTTCCTTCCCTCAGCACTGCTGCAAGTGTCTGCCCAGCTTTCCGTGACTCACTGCTGGCCTGCAGGAACCAGGAGTTAGCTGAAAGTACCTACAGCCTCCCTGCTAGTTCTACTTTCCGAGGACAACCTCTCACCCAGCCTCCAAAATGAATGGCATTGCAAGAGGCTGTTCTCAGGGTACATTTTTGAGAAAAATTAATTCAGCTTTTTTTTTTTTTTTTTTTGTAACTAAGAGAACTGAAAAGTTGTACCAAACTACAGTGT